TTTTTCGTGCCGCTGAATTTTTGATGTATGGTGCTTTCAATTGCATTATTTGAAATTGCTCAGTGTCACATGCAAACAAACAGGAAAAAAACGAATATGTCACCAAAAGAAATGGCGAGAACCAAAGCCGCTGTTATACACGTTGTTCCGTTCTACATGAATGCATTCGGAGTTTGCAAACGATTTTATTGCAATTCGTGTGTTGAATCGGAAAAATTGAGATGAACGATGGAAAACGACGCAGTGTTTGGGTCAAAAAGAGAAGGCAAGGACGAGAGTGGGAGAGAAAAAGCAGCTAAATTTCAAATGCAATCGTCTTCACTCGGCGACTTGTTGGAGTGTGTGTGTATGTGCATTGTGCAATTGAAGGAAATAACAAGCATTTCGCTGAGAATGCGTCCATTGACGGTGTGTGTGTGTGTGTAAGTGTGTGCTGCACAAACGAACCAAAATGCTCTTCCGAATTCATTTGACATCATTTATAAAATGACGACATTCATTTGACATCGTGACAATGGGAAATTCACTTGTGCCTCGCAGATATACGACGGCAATTTGTAGCTGTGTCAACGGCGCGCACAATTCAATTCATATACCATTCCTTTCTCCTTTTTTCTACTTCTCTAACTACATTTTTCCTCTGTTCGTATGAGAATCTCCTTCGTATGAGAATTTTCCTCGACTCCAATTAGTCTTTCTGAAGAAGAAAATTGTTTGTGTGTTTGGGGTGAAAAAAAAGAGTTCAAATCATTTTTCTCGGATTTGTATTTCATTTGATTTTCACTTTTTGCAAAAAATACGCACAAAACTTATCACACAATTTTGCAGCTCTTGTGAAAATCTCATCGGTTTTGCTCGTTCTCTTGATATTCTTGCTATTTCACTGATTGATAGAAAGTTTTGCTTGTGCACGCGCCACTTCCAAAGAATTATAAATTCTACTTTAGCAATGGAATTTCTATTCAATGAAATCAGCGAGAAAAGAAATCAAATGCAGAAAATATTAATGAAGAAAAGAAAGATTTCGTTTTCGCTCGTAAAAAATAATATTTTTCTTGTACGAAATTGCGATTTTGTTGCAAGTTTTCCATCATCGTCATCATCATCAGCAGCAGCAGCAGCAGTGATGATTGAGAAGTGAACGAACATCAAGTTATTTAACTTGAAGTTCAATTGAATTTGTCGAACAGTTGCCAGCAGAGCTCTTTTTTTGCCCATCGGAAATAAATCTTTTGAAATGCGAGAAACTTGACGCCACAGCTCTCGAACTCAATAATAATTATCTATCATTTCACGTTGCTTTTTTTTCCTCTCCTTCTTATTATACATTTCTCGAAACTCGAAGTTGTAAAACCAGAGCAAAGCATTTAACAAATTGCTTTGTTTGAAGAGGAATCGATTCCACACAAACACGCTTATCAATGCCACAATATATTTCTTTCTATTGTTGGAAATTTCGTGTTATTCAAAAATTCAAGAGTTGAGGAAAAAAATGGTTTTCTATTTAATCGATTCTTTTGTCGACTTTGAAGCAATCTATTTTAAAATCACACACACACACACACTCCTAACCAGAATATTGTCCGATCGGCTCAAAAAACAATTTACAAGCATTTTTCGATACACAATGGCGACCAATAGACACGAAAATGTTTATGATTTTGATTAATGACCATCGACATTGGGATAGTTCTTGCGTCAAACACTGAAATCAACTGGACATTTTTCTTGAGAGCTGAAAGGTGTTAATTACAATCGTCTTTGTTCTTTAACTACGTTTCATTTCTCATTTCTCTACTTTTGGCTGGATGTGTCGACGGGCGCGAGCATTGCTTTTGTTTGAGATTTTTCCATTGAGTGAGATGCGTGCGCTCAACTACAAAATTATGGAGTAGGCACTCATTTCGTGAGCTGGGTGTTATTTTAATGGACGAATAAAAACACAACAGGAGAGAGAGTGAGCCAAAAAAAAAAACACATCAGAATGAGTGTTGTTCTGTTGTGTTGGGCCATTTCACGCTGGCCAAGCATCGAAATCTGCTTGGCTACGCCAAAGATATAGAGTTAATGGACAGACAATCTTAACATTCTTAAGACAGCAGTGTGGCAGTAAAATGGCCGGGCTTTTGTTTTCTCGTCCACTCCCCAAAAATCATAACAACAAATAGCATTTAATGTAGTCATAAAATATGAATTATGCGAATTTATGTAAATTGCTGTGCAATAAATGATAACACTGGAAGATGGTGTAAGCAAGAGCTGTGTGTGTGTGTGGGCGTGTGCGCTCATGCTTTTCCGTTTCCATTATGCCCGTGCCAAATTACATAAATGAATGCCTAAAGATCTTGCTCGTTCTTTGGCTCAGTTGGTCTTGGAATCTGTGACAACAACGTGTAGTCATAGAAAATGCAGTGAATTTATTTGATTTTTCCACTCGATAGTCCTTGGCGCATCAACATAAAAACCATTGTAATTTGTATCAATTTATCGCGTGACGGAGTTTCCACTCATCTACTTTCAATTTTCCCCAAATTCTACCGAAAATATTTGAAAGAATGAAAGAGAAAAAGAAATGATGACAAATACATACGAATCTATTTTGGTATGCCATTTTCATCTCGGGCTATGTTTTTCCTTCATCCGGGTTTAAATATCTTATGAGCACTAATTTTCCACTTAAGCCAATCCAAGCTCAATACAGCTGCCACTTTTCGCGTACTTCTTTAAGCCGAACTTGCCAAGAACTATAACAAGACGGAAAAACATTGTTGCAACTTTCATATTGCAGTTTTCGCTGGGTTTTTTTTGTGGGCTACTTTGCAAGTTGTCGATGTGGTGCTGCTACATTTTCATTTCAGTCCGTTTCTCTTCATACTACTCACTCGCCTTTTCTTTCACTTGATCCGATCCGTGATCATCGCTGGAGCACAAACTTAAGTAAAACCCAATTTAACTCGGTCAACCTCAATTCCGATTTCCGGTTTGTGTTTTTAAGAACAGTGTAATAGCGTCTGTCTCATGTGTTCAATCTTATCCTCCGGTAATATTTTCATAATTGAAAATTGTGTGTCAATGGTTTTTTCCCACTGATACATTTCTCTTTACGTCGTTACTAGCGAGGGAAAGAGAGAAACAAACCAACACCGAGAGAAAAATACGACATAATGCGATTTGTCATGCGACAGAGCAAAACAATGATACTCTCCGGAAATTCACTTAAGAAGGCCTTAAGCTCCCAACGAACAACTTTTTAAGAGCCAAATTGAAAACAAACCATACTACAAATCGACGCCGCAGCGTGTACGGCATCCAACAAGAAAATCATGTCGAATTGGAAAAACAAGTCCGTATGATTTCCTGATATGACGTAAATGATGCACATACACGCTCAAACAAACCTCCCCAGAAAAAAAAAATGAAGGGAAAAAACAATCAGACAAAACCAAAATCGTAAGAAGCCCTCTGAAAACCAGATCTCTCTCTCTCTCTCTCTCTCTCTCTCTCTCTCTCTCTCTCTCTCTACAAGCGAATGAAAAGAGAGAGAAAAAAGTAACCAACTATAGCAAAACTTTTCGAAAATCTACCTAGTGCCGAGCTGTGTGTGTATGTGCGCGCTGCAGTCCAAAAAGTAGTAATAACCTGAGAGAAAAACCATTACAAACAGCAATTGAAACACACAAAAACAAAAGTTTCAAGCGCAACGAAAAAGAAACCACAAAGACATAAAAGCGACCCGGGGAAAATAATAATAATTTTCCTGAGCAATCGTTCGCTCGCTCGCTCGAAGAACAAAGCCGGAAAACAAACGAATAAAAGAAATATTAGCTTTGTATGGGAGCGAGTACGGTTTTTTGTTGTGTGGGAAGTTTTGGAAAATAATAAAAAGAAATAAAAAGCGAAATCGACGCAACGACTTGAAGTTATCCCGTCAATAAGTCGAAAGAGAGATGGATAAGAAGCTCTAAATATATATATATAGATAAATATGGAGCATTCAAGCTCGTCGTAGAAATACCGACATCCGGAAGCCAAAACTGTGTGCGCTCGATCAACATTCTAAACGTATGGGCCCTCGCACGCGCTCGCGCGCGCTCATTCTTTTGTGCAGTTCAAAGAGCAAAAGCAGCGTGCATTTAATGCTCACTCGTTTCGCTTTTCTTTTTCTTGATACAACAAAGAAAAATCAAACAGATAAGAAACAACGAATTATTGGATACGATGCACACCGCTATCACACAGCCGCACACATATTTACTCTCTCTGCGATGGCAAACAATCGAATCCACCGTCAAAAGCAATGAAGTCAACGGAATTAAACATTAGCTGACGTGTGTGCGCTTGCTTGTTCGCACGTTTTTTTTTCGTGAACAACATCAACAATTGTGTTCTTTCTGTTTGCAGCATTCGATTGAGCTTTCATTTGAGTGCTGATGCGCGCGCGCATCCGTTCTTCCCGCCCAAATGGAAGCCAATGTTATTGTCAGTTTAATATTTATTATGTTGTGTGCGCTGGTTCATCCATTCAGTTGGCGGTTTGTTTCTTTCATTTGATGTGCCAATACACAATTGGTGTTGTGCTGTGCAACAAAAGCACAGCTGCATTCAACATTCCGTCCGATTTTTTTTCCGCCGCCAACACATAATATATCTATCTCCATTCTTTTGCACCGCTTGACAACGGAAATTGCTATTCTCAAGTCATGGAAAATTAGCAGCACATCCGACGAAATTGATTCGACTTTTCCACTCCATAAAATCCGGGCCCGCTGAAAACCAAATGAAAACCACTTTTGACTTTGAAATTACTAATCAAATCAATTGCGATGAAAGATAAACAAACGGAAAAAAAAATGAAAACGAAGGGAAATAAATGCCCACTCGAAATGCAAATTGACTGATAACATCGGCAATTTGAAGTGACAACTAATTTGCGTTTACTTTTTATTTTCAATTTTCTCTATCACTTTTTCTAATTTTCATTTTTTTTCCTTATTTTACAGATTATCCACGCGTTGAAATTGGCCCAGAAAATCCACTGCAAGTGGAACGAGACTCAACCGCAAAATTGGAATGTCACGTTGATGCCAAGCCAAAAGTGAGCAATGTTCGATGGACACGTAATGGTAGATTCATCAGCTCGTCGTTGGTTTATTCGATTCCGCGTGTAACACATCAAGATGCTGGCAAATATGCATGCGCCGCCGATAATGGTTTGGGTAAAATTGGCGAACAAGAAATTATGTTGGACGTTTTGTATCCACCAGTTGTGGTGATTGAATCGAAAACACGTGAAGCGGAAGAGCATGAAACGATTAATATTAAATGTAATGTGACATCAAATCCCGAACCAGTTACAATTGAATGGTTAAAAGAGGGCAGCCCGGAATTCCGTTCGACTGGTGATATTTTAACGTTGCGCGATGTTCGAGCCGAACATGCTGGCACATACGTTTGTCGTGCGATCAATATTATGATGCCGTATGGTGGAAAGCGAGTTGAACGTGTTGGAAATTCAACGGTTGCACTGTTGGTGCGTCATCGTCCCGGTCAAGCGTCGATTAATCCAAGCAAACCAATTGTTCATGTTGGAAATGGCGTTACTTTGACTTGTTCGGCAAATCCACCCGGCTGGCCAGTGCCACAATACAGATGGTTCCGTGATACCGAAGGCGAAGTTCAACCGCAAACAATTCTGGCACAAGGCTCACAGTATGTTATTCCACGGGCACATTTGGGCAGCGAAGGACGCTATCACTGTCATGCCGTCAATGAGCTTGGTCACGGTGAAATGGCAACAATCACACTTGAAGTACATCAACCACCACAATTTACAGCCAAGCTGCAACAACACATGACGCGACGCGTTGCTGACTCAGATTTTGCTGTCACTTGCAGTGCCAAAGGAAAACCAAAGCCGATTATTAAATGGTTGAAAGATGGTCGCGAAATTTCAATGGATGCCAATTTGTATGAAGTAAACACAACGCCGACAGAAGGTTCAAATGGTATGGTCACCGTTCAAAGTTGGTTACATTTTACTGGCAAATCACGACCGGGCAACAATCAATTGATTCCAAGCGATCGCGGTCTTTACACATGCTTGTACCAAAATGAAGTTAACTCGGCCAATTCCAGTATGCATTTACGCATCGAACACGCTCCAATCATCTTGCATCAGTATAATAAGGTCGCCTATGATATTCGTGAAAATGCTGAAGTCAAGTGCAAAGTGCAAGCATATCCGAAACCTGAATTCCAATGGCAATTCGGCGCCAACCCATCACCATTGTCGATGTCATCCGATGGCAAATACGAAATCAATACAACAACCGATAACAATGACGTGTACACATCAGTGTTGAAAATCAATCGTCTCAGTCATCAAGATTATGGCGAATACTTGTGCCGTGTCGTAAATTCATTGGAAACAATTCGAGCACCAATTCGGTTGCAACCAAAAGGTGCACCTGAAAAACCGAATAATTTGCGAGCCGATGACAGCACATCCAATAGCATTACATTGAATTGGGATGCTGGATTCGATGGTGGTTTGGCCAATACCAAATATTTTGTATCATATCGCAAAGTGCAAGCACCACATGACGATCAAGTGTTGCCAGACTGTGAAACGAATGTTATCACCAATACCGATTGGATGGAATTCGATTGCCATCAAAATGTTCCATGTAACATTAACCCATTGGAACAGCATCAAGGCTATGTGTTCAAAGTGAAGGCGCTCAATACCAAAGGCTCGTCCGAATATTCAACCGAAATCATGAAAACCACAAAAGTCGACCACATTCCCATGCCAATGCATGTATCGTTCGATCCAAAATCACGTACGTTGGGTGTTACTGTTGGTGCAACTTGTTTATCGTTGATTGCAATCGTTGAATCGGTTATTAATGAAGGAACACCGATGGCTGCATGGCAAATTGTCGAAACCATTCAACTTCAGAATTCGGGCAACAATCCAACGCACAAAGAAACGGTCATCGAACATTTAGTAACGGCACGACGAAGCAGCGCTCGCTCACTTGGCATTCCTGATGATGATTTCCCACCATTGAACGATGACCAAAATCCACGTGTTCGTGTCAAACTTTGCCTGCGCGCCAACCATGAACGTTGTGGCGAGTATACTGAAGCTGAAAGTGAGTATTTTTTAGGAGATTTTTTTGAATAATTTCCTTTTTATCTTGTTCAATTCCTTGAATTTCGTCTTTATTTCCGAACATTTTCCTTCCCTTTATTTTAAATTCATTTTCTTAATGGACATTTTTTTTGCTTGTCTCCTCCTTCATTTCAGTTGGAAATAACTACATTGCCGAAGCATCTGCAATTGCAACACCTACACTGATTGCAATCATTGTATCCGTCATTGTGTTTGCACTGTTCATTGGATTGGTGCTAATGTTTTGCCGTTGCAAGCGTAACCAAACAAAGAAGGGCACTCAAGTCAAAGACTATGAAATGGATTCGGTGCGTCCATCGATTGTGGCACAACAAAATCAAGCACCACCACCATACTATCCAACAAGTGGCTTGGAAAACAAAGCACTCGAACATTCAATGGATTTGGCATTGACGTTGGAAGATCAGAAGCAAGTCGTGTATGCCACTCAAAATGGATACGGTTATCATCCGCAACACTCAGTCTCGACGCAGCAAATGACAAATAATGACTGTAAGTAAACCTTCCACCCATTGGTTTGTTTGACGTTCGATTTTCGTTTTGAGTTTCAATTGTTTCTTTTGGTTTGAATATTTGTGGTTTTCTTTTCTCTGTTTTAATCAAATTAGTTCGGATAATTCTTACAACGTTTTCCGAATAGAGAGCATATTTTTGTGCCGAACCGACAATATGCACAAGAAAATATGTATGACAAATTGATAAACGTAGTGGTATTCGATGCAAATTTTATGTAAATGATCAATTGAATAGTGTAATTTGGTCAATTAAAGGGCGGACAAGAAAATTGATTTTCGATGGGCTCATTGAAAACAAACGACCGTGAACGAAAATGAATTATGACGTGTGTGTGTGTGTGTGTGCACTGTGCATCGCGGTTAATAATCATCACTCGACATTTTTATGATGAATTCATTAATTAGATCAAATGAGCACACACACAGTACAGCGGTAGAGCGAAATGTGTTCTATGCGGTGTTACCACGATATAAAAGCGTAAATTATATTTTCACTTACCGTAATATTTGCCATTATTATTCTGAATCAATATGAAAATCATAAAGGCTGTGCGGCACAGCGCACGATGCCTATGATGATGATGGTAATGATGATGTCATTTTGATAATAATAATTTTAATTTCAATGCATCGACATCGCTAACCGAGAGTCAGTCAACACGTTGGCATTTTTTTTAGAATCCGTTTTCAATTTTACGCTACGTGATGTGACCACAATCGTATATAATTGTTATTAGCATTGTGCAAATGGATAAATTATGCATTTAAAATTTTCAATAATAATTTAATGCTGTATTGGAATGCAGCGTTAATCTCGTTCGCATGCAAAGGGAGAGTGAACAAGAGCGGGTGCATGGTGATAAAAACTGTTAAATAAATTCCAGTATTTAGCTTAATGAAATTTCATTGATTTTTACAATATTACCCGGGAACGAGAGATAGAGTGAACGATTATTTTATATGGAGAGCGAGTGGAAAAGGAGAGTTTCGAATGAATAAAATAAAATAAAATGACGATAATTCGATTCTTGTCACTGTTCATTCATTTACACACAACCAAGTATTTATTTATCACGTATACATCGACTGCACTCACTCTCATTCTCTGAATGCCGCCCTTCCCACTCTCATCTCGTCTCCCACTCGCTCTCACTCAGTCACCCATTCAACCTTCTCCCCCATCTCTTTTGTTCTTTGTGTCACTCCATTTGAAATGGAATTGTGCGTGGCTGCAGTTTTTTTTCCGCTGTATTCCGTTCATTTCTCCCAAAAATATCGTGCGAACGAATTTTCATCAAACTTGATGTGCCTGCAGCCAAATAATGCAATTGAAAACGCATTTAATTGAAACAAATGCGCCGAAATGAAATTTTCGATTGGTAAATTGCGTAAAAACATTGAGAAAAATGTTCCGACGAATATTGAGTGGACACAAACGAATCGATGAAGTCAAAAGTTCAAGCCAAACAATATGCCAATTTATTGGCACAATCGATTTAACATGCACTTCATTGAAGGAACAGCAACGAAACGAGAGAATAAAAAATCGCCGATAAACTATATCATTGTATTTAAATTAAATCCACTGTTTGATGTAGATTGCAGCACTTGCACCCTGATTCTCGACCATTTTACTCGCTTTTTTATGCTGCTGCTGCCGTCACCGCTATTGCCGCCGGTGTGTCGATTATTTAATTTTTGTCATCGCCAGAATAATTTTTTGTCGATGAAAAACGACCAATTTTTGACATTATCACTCACAAATCATTTAATCGATGCAACCTGGAGCAGTGGTTTTTTTCCCATCTCTTACACAAAACCAGTGTGCACTGTGCAGTGTTCACCACTGTGTTGGCATGTAACAAATTTTGTGCCTCATTTACCGTGTTTTTATTTTAAATATTTGCGATATCATCAAAACGATTTTGGGTCAATATTTTAAACCGAATCGGAGCGCAAAATAATTTTATAATTACTAATTAAAATAATAAATAAAATGCTGTCGATTAAAAGTGCGCGCGTGGCAATTTCAATCAACACCGCCAAATGAGAGGAAAAGCACTAACGCAAAAGCGCGCGCGCGCTCGCGTTAAAGCGTTTTGAAAATTAATTTGAAATTTATTTATTATTTATGCAGAATCACGATAAAACAGCGGATAATTCTTCTCGGTGGCGAAACTATGAGCTACATACACTAGAACAACAACAAAAATTATTGCATTACACAACAATATTTACTCATTCGTCATTGGCAGCTGTTGTGTTGCACATTTCATCAAATCGATTTCTATCAATTGCAATTAATTGAAATGCCTGAAACGTTGCTCATTCTCTCTGTGTATGTCTCCCCGATAGAAAATAACAAATGGAATTATGTCGCTTGTAAAATGTTTGCTTGTTCTCGTTGGTTTTTTTCCTTGACATTTTTGCTCTGGTTATGATGTACCATGTAACTCAGTGCCGCTCTCGCTCTCTCTCTCTCTCTCTCTCTCTCTCTCTTTCTCATTCAATTCGACGGGCGAAATGATCTATTTTGTCATGTCATTTGAATACACAACATCTGGAAAATGAGCACAAGCTTATTGTATTTGACGATGTAGAAAATGGAATCACCTTCGGACTTCTTCTATTGTTTTTCTGCTCCATTCCATCTCCGTTCTGTCTTTCGCTCATTTCACTGCAACTATTCTGCGGCGACACTTTAATGAAACTTATTCTATGCGCGTTGCGAAGTCATGCAATTTCATCAGAAAATATTAATCAAACTAAACAAGAAGAAAACACATAAAAACAACCTAAACGATGCAACGCTGCATTGTCATTGGTGCGAATTGCACGGTTGGGACAACAACAATGACGACGACGACGACAGCAAAAAAAAATGGCTGCCAAATAATTTGGCTCTGTGTACGACTGACTCTTTGTCTCATTCGTTTCCTTTGGTGCTATGTGCCGGGATAAAAGCGGCCGGCACCAAAAATATATAAAATAAACTTTAAAAAAGCGGCAACGGAATAAATAAATGTGCACCTAATAAATTCCATTCCATGTTCATTAGTTCAAAAGAGCTTTGTCAACAGTATTTATTTCATTGGTTTTCTGTTTGTATACAATGTTTGGTGTGTTTTTTTTTCCACGTTATGTTTTATTTTTTCTATTTCATTCATTCATTGTGCGAGACTCTCTGAAAATACTGTGCTTCGTATTTTTTGTTCAACAATGCTCATAAATTGTTATTATTCTTGTCCCTGTTCTTTTTTTTATGATGCCTTCACGCAAACAAAAAACCCCGTGAACGAAAACAAAAATCATAACTTTCTTCGGTAACATTTTATTATGCAGGACTAGCTAGTACAACTACCGAGTTCACAGTTACAGGTAATTGGCCGCTGTGTCCCTTGATGAGTGTGTGTGTGCGTGTACTCGTTGATTTTTCTTTTTGCGTCAACAGTGTTTCATCATTTCTTTTTTCTCGTCCCAATATATTTTTTTCTGCTTGCACATGTCGAAATTTCATTCAACTTCGACTTTTTATTGGTATTTGTTGTGATATAAATTTGTGTGCCATTTTCATTTCAATTTTTTTGTGTTCTGTTTATGCTAGTTCAATTTCCCTCCATTCTTGCACTCTCTCTCTCCGTATTTTATGTCCATTGTCGATTTTTCTTCAGTTTAATAACTCAAACTTTGTCATCGTGCGTTGTTTATTTGTTGCCATATTCCCTTGTTTATTATTATTATGAATTGTATAGCATAGCAATTTTCCTAGGCAAAAATGGATTTTATATTTATAACGTGAAAACTATGTACTACGGTTCTGTTTGTACTTATTTTCCATTCGCTCTCTCTCTCTCAATTATTAAAATTCAAAAGCTATTTGCACGCTCTTGCTCTCTCTTGTATTTTTTTTAGTTTTTTTTATTGACATTATTAATAATAACGTGCTTCAGCACACGAATGCGCCACTTATGATTATTATTCACTGAAACTATCGCACTTTGCACCAAAAACCCAGTAAAAATTTAATTGAAATTGCGTTGGCCCAGTCATTTTAATATAATTTTTTATTTATTTCTCTTGTTTTTTTTTCTGTTCAATTCGCTCGGCCCAATATTTATTATACCAGGGGCAAATATAGGTTACATGGATAATAGTTATTCAAATTCGAACAATGGCGGTAGCGTTAACTCACAGGATTCGATTTGGCAAATGAAAATGTCAGCAGCTGCTGGAAATCCAGCTAATTTAATGCCACAACACACGTATGTCGATCAACAAGCATCATATGGTTATGATCCTCTAGCCCATGCTGGTTACGGTGCCATCGATGATTATGCACCATATCCACATTTGACCGCGACACACAGTCAACACGGCGGTGACGATTATCAAACCATGCGCAACAGTCAAAATCCATCGCGTCAAGAAGTCTACTGCAGCGATCCATATGCAGCCGTTCACAAGCCCAAGAAGCGGCTTGATCATTTAGGTAAGTCTTGGCCAACTTTTTTTGTTTCCCTCATCTTTTCATTCTTCTTGCAAGGAAGAGGTTTCATTTTCTTCTTTTCAACTTCTTTCTATTTCATCTCCATTTTATCCCTATAACTTGAGCTAAAAATAAAATTTCAATTTCGAATTGGCAAAAATCGCCAACTCATCTATCCCATTTCATCATTTCTAATTCAAATTTTTTTTCCACTTGAAAATCATTTTTCGTTTTGCAAACGCCGCCGCACCCATACAGATTCGCCATATCATGATGTAAGCGGTCTTCCTGAATCGTACATGGAACAAGTGAATGTAGACGATCCGAATACGGCACCGCAACAGCATTTATCACACAGCTATGATGATGGGCTACAGGAAAGTGGTTATTCGACGCCAAATTCAAGAAATCGACGTGTCATACGGGAAATCATTGTCTGAGAAACGCCTCGGGTACGTTTTGCGAACTGAACGTGCCCATGAACACATTCATATAATTAACTGACCAGTTCCAACCAAAAAAAAAACTCACACATTTTTACATTCGATCAATTCAGACGGAAACATAATCGAAAAATAAACTAAAAATTTCATTTGGAAAATTTGCATTTGCAACGTGGCAAAATCCCAAAACAAAAACAGCGCAAATTTCTCATTGGCGTTTGATTGATGAATCTATAAATTTATCAAGTGAAACAAACACAGTATTATGCAAACCAACAAAATAAATATTCACTAGCTCCTAGGAAATAGGATACAACAACAAAAATCGAAGAAACACAAAAGTAATGAGACTATTCATAATTTTGATAGTGGTGATGAATTTAATGAAGAAAAAAAAATGATGCATCGATTGGCCAAAACTAAAAAAATTCTGTGTGACATGCACAATATCTATATATATATTCGAGCATAGTTTCTGTGTATCGTGCAACTTTTGCAAGCAACAAACGCATGCAATCTTGAGTGTTATATTCTATTCTAGAATAAGGCATTTTAGAAAAAACTGAATGTAAAATCATTTTTCTGTACAATGATAAAGAATCGGACAAAAAATAAGAAACAAATCTCACTGTTAGACAAAATTTTAGCTTAAGCACAACGCATAAGCGGAATAGATATTTTTAATTGTATAAAACAAAGAGACACACACCGACGATTTTTTTTTCGGCCTAAAACCATTCAGTTTGTTCTTCGGTTGCACGTTAATTTTGATTTTTTCTGGACTCATTTGATGAGAAGCATCTTCCATTTTGATTTGTATTTATTTGTTAATTTTTGCGCAATTTTTTTTTTGTCGCACTCCTCCGATTGAACGGAGGTTTATATTTTGTGTTTGTATCTTGGAATATTGTGTTTGTTAATTTTTTTGAATTTATACTTTCTTGAGTTCAATCTGGTTCAGTTCGCAAAATAAGTTACAAAAGGCTTCGAAATAAAAACAAACAAACAAAAAAATGAAAAAAAAACACATACAAAAAAAAAATCTGGCAAATTAATTTTAGTCTAGTGATTTAAACGAATTAAGCGTAAACGAATATTATATATATAGATATAAAACTATAAACGTAAAGCAAATGTGTTGAATTCTACAGAAACGAAAAAAAGAAATCATATAAAAATTTATCTTTGTGTATATTGAATCACACACAAATACAACTGACAAAAAAACCGAACACGTTACACGTAGCGAGTATTTTTGTTTGCAATTGGAAAATGATCGTGATGTTCAATGTGAAGAAAAAAAGAGAGATACTATTTCGATATTGAAATAAAAACAAAGCAAAACAAGAGAGTTTACATTCTTTATCTAGATAAATAAACTTAAAGTATATTGAAATGCAATCTGTTATCTGTATAATCTTAAAAACTGCACATAGAATTCACATACACACAGAACCCCCTCTCTCCCCCAAAACTACTCCTTCTCCCACAAATACACACAAAAAAATGTTAAAGTAATTTGTTTTAAGCAATTGAAAAGAAACATTCAAATCTGAATGAAGAAAGAATAAGTCAAATCATTGTTCATCACACACTCACACAACCAACGCTGCCATTGACACAGTCAAAACAAAAAAAAAATTCCGATTTTCATTATTATCATCCCCGTCACACCCATACAATTTGCAAAACATTTTAAAAGTAAAACAACATAAGCTAAACTAAATAAATGGATAGACAAAATAAAACCCACTCACAAATAAATGGTATTTGCACAAAACAAGATATTTATCAAAAACCTTAAACACAACACAAATAAATAGAAAACCACACACTACAAATTGGTTGATTCTCTGTAATCAAGACAGTGCACCTTGTTGTGACATTTTCACAATAAAAACGAAGCATAGAACAGCATTGAAATTTAAAAAAAAAGAGAGTAAAATTAAACACTGAAACAAACAATATATCAAGAATTACGTAGCATTTAAAGCATGTGTCAGATAACAAAACAAAAATCAATGTGAACAAATGAAGAAAAAATTTATTGAATCAAAATGTTTTTAAACAAATTGAACCGAATGAGAGAAGAATCGACACAGATCGAGTGGAAATTTTATTGAAAACGCCTAAATTTTAAGTAAAAGAAAAGAAACGAGAAAATACAGATATATTATAGTGCTATGACATAAGGAGCAGATTTATGACAGAAATAAAACAATTATCCATACTCTAATTTTAAGGTGATAAGTCGATGGATACTGGAACAACAACAGAAAAAAAAACACTACTTAGAAAATATCATGAAGAGATTGACGAAAGGGAAAATGAAGAGAGAAATATTGCAATATTTACGATGTGTTTTTTTTTTAATGCGAAAGTCATATCTAATTTTAATGCAATCGTCCAGTTCAAAGGAAGAAAAAAAAACACACAAAATCGTTTGACGACTGACTTTTTTTCGTTTGGCTAACATTTTGAAACTCTGTACCAAAAATTATTTCACATTTTTTGTAATAATTCATTTCACAACGATATTTTGGTTTTAACTTTTCCGCACGCCCATGTCATGCGTAATGTCATTTCGGTTTTGTACGAAATTATTTCGAAACATCGAAATTTCAACTGGAGTTTTTTTTTTTGAAAACATTGTTTCCCCAATAAGCATTTTATTTCTTCAACACAAAACACACTCTCTGAATTTATGTACAATTGTACACGGGGAAAGCAATTGTGTAACAATTTGAGAGTTTAAAAGGTACCTTTACGGCATATTATATACACAGACACACATTTCACACGAGCAGACAATTAATTTTTAAACCGAGATTGTACAAAGAACATTTAGAATTGTATATTAAACGTTAAAATGTGTGGGAAAAGGATTTGGACAAAAAAAAACACAAACAGAAAAAATTTCGTTTCAAAACATGAGGAGTAAAATAAAATGTGAACGATTTATTTTACACCCAGCCATCATCGATATAATCTCATAAATACAAGTACTTAGGAACAGGAGAAAAAAAAATGAAGAAAAAAATGAAGAAAGATATATAACACAGACACTGAATCTCTAGATTATACTGTATATTGTGTGGGCAAACAATTTTATGGAATTATGTATGTGTGTAATCTGAAAGTAAAAAAAAAGAAAAAAAAAAGCGAAAAATTTGAAAGAGAAAAACAAAAACAACAGCAGCAGCATCATTTCATCAATCTATGGAAGATCTTGCCATTTGCATTCATCATTTTTCATTAGCAAAAATTTTTTATACTCAAAAAAAATGTTGTTGATTTTCAATCAAATTTTGCGTTTTTCTCTTTTTGTAATTGAAATGCATACGAATTTGGCTGAATAAGTAGACTCAGTCGAAATGTGTTGCGAAAAATTGTTTGCTTATATTACTTACAATTGCTAGACGCGAACGCGTATTATCTCCCAGATAAAAAAATTCCATGCTCTTTGATTTTCAAGCAACGTTGGCAGCCTCCGGATGTTTGGAATTTTCGCCGACTAATCGGCGATAGCTGTATATTTCAAACATCAAGTGGCTGTTTTCTTCTTTTCTAAACGAAAATCAAAAAGTATCGAATTTTTTTCAGTTCACGCATTTTTCTCCGACCGCGAGAAAACGCATCGAATGAATTTACGTTGTTTACTTTTTAGTTATTGTATTATAAAAAAAAAATTTATTTTATAGTTTTTAAACTCTTATAATTTTCAATGAAAATTATTGGCCATCAATTTTAAAATCGTCTACGAATCTACTTAATTTTTTTATTTTTTTATCGTCTGTCCAGCGTTTACATTGACACGCAGCTATATATATAAATTCGATAACATTTAAGCCATTGTTTAAGTTTCATTTCTTCTCCTTTTTTTGCTACTTATTTTTTATGATTTTATCCGTTTTAGTTTTTTAAATACAATCGTCGTCTAGTTCGTCGTGTTCACACACACGCACGCACGCACGCATGCTTCAGTTCATCAAAATTGAAATATTAATTACAATGATTGACAATTTATTTTTTATTATACACTGTTTACGTATAAGAATATTACTAAAAGTAATCGCTAAGTTGGATTTATGCATAAAACTTGAAATATACACATAAATAATAAATAAAGATATTTTACGAAATAATAAAAAAAAACAATCGAAACGTTTTATTCTTCTGATTTTGTTACTGTTTTATTTAAGTAAATTTGTCTTGAACAGTATCAACGGAAATTGCGTTAACCGTCACCTCGAAGTGTATTGAAATTAGGTTTTCAATGTTTCGAACGGTGCTAGGGAAGCAGAGCCATCTATTGAATGTAGCAAGAAATTGGTGCCTTTTAGTACATTTTTCGAAAATGAATCAGATCTGAATTTGATGGAGCTGGTCCATCAATTCGATGGAGTTTGATGAGTTGATGGAGATGTTATCATTTCTTCTTTTATTTTGTTTTTTTAATCATTTCAAAGCAAATTTTATGGTCTATAGAGAAGAATGGTCGTTTTGATTGCTTAGCCACAAAAATATCAACCAATTTATTTTATCAATTACTCTAGGGTCAAAATATCGATCAAAAACATTATCTTAATTACAAATATATTATCCGAAATGATTGAATATTAGTATATTGAAATTTATAAACTATTTAAATGCCCTTTACATCTCATCCAACACTTCTAAATGAACAAGAAAAGAAACACACGAAAAGGCTGAATCACTTTCTGACGTCTTGCAGTATGCAAATTGCTAATTTCAAGTGACTGGTTTTTAGAGACTGGCAATAACGAAGTGTGCAAAAATACTTTTGAATCATTGACATTTTTGAAGGTTATAAATATTTATTTTTAACAGAAATAAATTGTGAGTAAAAACTGTTCAACTCGACATTCGCTTGCAGTGCGAAAAAGGTCGTCCCAATTTGATTATCACTGTAAGAATGAACCTTAATAAAATTTATATACAGATAACTCCAAAAAATCATGCATTTTAATAGCTCACGCTGATTAATCACTACGTTCAGCTTTGATTTAACTTCAACTTCTAGTCAATTCGCACGAATCGTGGAAAATGCTCATAAAAGTGATTTTGCTGCTCGTTTGTGTTCATGTTTTGTTTGGAAGCATAAATTTAGAGAAATATTTGTGGAAAACATGGAAAAATAACACATTTTACGCCTTTCGTGGCATTCGGTATGCTGAGCCACCAACAGGTTCATTGAGATTTAAAGTGAGCGAAAACTAAAGCGGCTCAAAACGCAATTTTGTATTTTGAAAAATTTAGTGTGAAATGAAACATTGTTCGATTCGATTGTGAATTTTTCTTCAATTGAAAATCATAGGCACCTCAACCCATAAAAACATGGAATAATATACCAGCATTGTTTGAGCAAATTCGAAATGAAGATGCTTGTGATTGCCCATCGCCGAATACTTCATACGATGAAGATTGTTTGTTTCTGAATGTGTACACCGAACATTTGAATGGTTCAAAACCAGTAGTTGTATTCATTCACCCGGGTGGTTTTTACATTGGATCTGGCAGCTCCGCTAACTACGGGCCCGAGTATTTGTTGGAAGAAGATTTGGTGTTGGTAACATTTAACTATCGACTAGCATTCTTTGGATTTACAAGCGTTGGCACCAATGATGCCATCGGAAATGCTGGATACAAAGATCAAGCGCTGCTTTTGAAATGGGTTTATGATCACATTCGACACTTTGGTGGTGATCCAAATTGCGTGACTCTGATGGGCGATAGTGCTGGCGGAATGAGCGTTCAAGCACATCTAGTCTCACCACTTTCAAGTCACCTGTTTCATCGAGCCTTTGTAATGAGCGGCGGAATATTGCCACAAGCTAAATCTCCGTCGTCGCAAATGCATTTAGTCGAAAAACTAGCTCGTTTACTTGGATGCTCCGAAAATGAGAACACATTTGATTGCATTAAAAAGGCTAACACAGTGTCAATCACCGATAGTTTGAGGAAAATTTTCGAATTTGGATGGGACAATCCAGGTGAAAATTATTCATATTTTGTGGTTTAAAATTAAAAGTACAGATAAACCTTAGCACTAGCAATCTGTGCCATTTTTCATAAGGCGTCTCCACTCGCATTGAGTTTGTATTGTGAATGTTAAGGTGCGTGCAACGCCCTTCAATGTAAAAAACAATACAAGTGGAGATGATACACGGGATTTATCTGTACTTTGATTACTTATTATTAATTGCTTCAATGACTAAAACTAAACGATCATGTTTTCCAAAGCGGTAGAGTGAAAATGGGCATTCCTTCACAAAATAATTTTTCTTAATCTAGTTTATCCATGGTTGCCAATCGTCGAACCACCTAGTGATGAACAACCATTTTTGAACGAAGATCCGATGAAGTTATTTGAAACGGGAAAATTCAGCAAAATTCCAGTTATGGTCAGTTTGACAAAACACGAAACTTCAATGTCAGCGATGTACCTATTCGAACACAGAGATCTGTTGACACAATGGGTGAATGACTTCGCGCGAATTGGACCGATTTGCATGCAATATGAACCAAATGATACCGTTTCGGATAGGTTAAAAGAGAGATACGCGCCGTATGATGTCGATGATAAGGAACATTTCATTGATTTGTTCGACAGTTGTGCTGAGGTGAGAAGGGGAACTTCATGTTTTTACGTTGTTTTTTTTTGTTATTTTATGTGCGATGACCTCAATTCGATGTACATTTTTCATTTCCAAATTGAAAGTGTTGAAATAATTATGATATTTGAATAATTTAAATCCAAATTCAATTGTAATGTTAAATGCGTGGGTATTGATGTTTCTAGTGATGATTACTGTTGAAGAAGAATAATTTTGAAAAAGAAAATCGCTAGAGTTTTTCAGATTCAACCATCACATTTCCTCTCCATCGAATGGTGCAACTCGTAAAAGATGCAACCGATGTTTATTACATGAAATTCGATTTCCATGGGTCATACAGCGGATTCATGTGCAATTCAACTAATGACAAAGATTTATGTGACGGTACTTGTTTTCATTCTTTATTTCGTACTACTACTACTACTGCTAACCGCGTTTTCAGTGTTCTATGAAATCTATAAAATTTTGCGGTGAAATACGCAAAAATTTGTGCATAATTTTATGTCTGTTTCAAAATCAACAATAAAACATTTGATCTTCTCTAGAGATTGCAAAGAAAAATATCGTTGAGCATTGTGACGATCTTCAATACCTGTTCACGGCAGCCAATATTCCGAGAATTAAAGATGAATCGAGTGCCGAAGGTCAAATCGTAACGAAATACACAAAATTGCTATACAGTTTCGCAAAAAATGGGTAAATATTGTGTCTGTTCGGAATGTGTTAAGTACAATATTTGTTTTTATGAGCATTGCACATTCACCATTAATTAATTTGCGTTTTATCTATAGTTATCCGTACTTCGGCCCAGACTTATTAGCAAACACCGCAAAGTTCGATGCTGATGAGAAATATGTCTCTTTTGATACAAAATTTGAAGTAAAAAACAATCCATTCCGAAATGCTGCTCTATGGGATTCCTTGTATCCAATAGCAAACAATGAAAAATAACAAATGAAAATACACACACAAATTTTGGTTTTCCGATAGAAAAGTTAGTTTTATTTGATTTTTGTTCATCTCAATACAACACTTTTGATTTGATGCAGATCAATTTCACTGCGGCAAAAATCGTTTAATTTTACTAATGCCTGAACTGATTCCGATGCAGTTGTTTGTTCATGTATACAGATTCACGGTGTGTTTGTGTTTGTGTGTTTTAATAGATAGAGTTGACATATAATTAAGTTAGGTGTGATTTGCCATCTTAAAAAAAAATTAGACCATTTTGAAAACCTTAACCGATTTTGTACACAAAACTCATGCTCTTTTGTGCACTCACTTTTGTTTCTTATTTTGTTTAATTACAATTGCATAAGGTGTACTGTTCTTTTTTTCTTTTTAAATTAATACAAATTAAAACAAAAAAAAAATATATTTCGCAATTATTGGTGCAATTAGACGACATAATTTTAACTGGTCGTTAATGCTGAGCTTGTGCAAGAGCTGGAGCTAATTTTTCGACGATTGCAATACCGGACAACAACAGTTTTTTACCAATTGGCGGCACTCTTGGATTGTTGGCCAGTGATTCGGTAGCCAAACGAAGCTCATGGAACATATTTCGGTTGTATGGGTTACGACGCGATGTGTATCTCAATGCCAAGAAGTGATAGTAGATGAATGGTGTCATTAAACCGGCACGACCGCTGCAAAACAGAAGAAATTAATGAGCCAAATAGAGTTTTTTTTTTATCGAGATTGTGAAATGAAATGTTCGAGATCGAGATATACTTACAAGAACACAAAGATGATAACTAGGGGCATCAACAGAATTTCAGACAATGCAGCCAATCGCAGGATGTTTGACGTTTGGAGCTCAACTAGTGAAATCATTAGACGTGCACCCCACCACGAATTTTGACCGAGTTGCTGCAATACATAAAAGTTTGATTAATCGCAAATTCTTTTTTTGAATTCTGGAGATTCTTTCATTTCTTTTTTTTTTGTTTTTTTTTAATGATTCATTTCCCTTCTTTTTCTTTCTTCTTTTTTCATTCTTTCATTTGTTTCTCTTTTTTTAATTAAAATTCAACTCGAACAAGAAGAAAAGAAAAAAAAGTCATTTTTCAAAAAATTCAAAACATCCACTTACGTCCAACAGAGTGAGTGAGTAGCTGGCTGCATGCAAAATAGCGAACAAAACCACCGGCAACAAGATCAAAATGAATGGGCTAACATACAGGAAAATGGTTGAGAAGAACAGATAATGGCAAGAGTCTTCGACCAACAGCAATGCAAAATATTCACGGCTGAACGTAAGTCGTGGCATTCTCTGTTGCAGACGTAAAGCACTGGTTGCTGCATTAGCCAATAATACTTTGTAGAATGCATTTTGGGCGTTTCTATAAATGGAACGATTGAAAATAAATTAAAAACCAAAGAAGGTAATAAGCGAACGTTATGTGAATTAAATTTTAACGACAAATCGACCGTTTTGTGTTCAAATATAATTCGATTGTTTGAAGTGTATCATACCCGAATATCGGAAGCACATATCCAAAAGCGAAGATGATTGTGAGTACACGCGATGCCCAGAGCGCAACATCCACTTTATTGTCGATGATGTGTTGTTTCAGTGCTTCGAACCCACGCGGTCTTTCTTGATTTGCGTTATTATCTGCCATATTTTTCTGCTATTTATCGCTAATATCGGGCGTAAATTGTTATTTCAGCTGCAATACCAAATGAGAGAAACGAAATCAATTAGCGCGATAATGTTAAACAATCAGACAAAAATGAGCACAAACAATTTATCGCTAGAAATTTTTCCTAACCTAAACTACTTAATTCATTAATGCAAAGCGCAATGGGAAAATTAAGAAAAAAGCAAAACAATTCAATTTTCGATTGATAAAAAAAAAATCCAAAAGAGTAATCATTGATATGACACCATGCCAAAGCAACCAAGCATTTTCATTATAAACAGTAAATTTCATTTTTTCTACGAAAGTCCACAGCCACATTCACTTGGAATGCAAAATTGCGAATCGCGCGCGAGATATGTATACGCGGAAGTGATTTAAACGCGCAGATGTGATAAGCGTATGAAGCCTACCGAAGATTACATGGCACATTGAAGTAAAACGGTAGTGCATTTAACACACACACACACCACACTGGATATGTGTGTTACGAAGGTAAAAGTTGAGAAAGCAACACGCTGAATGTTTTCCGTAGCGCAACCGAAATGAGCGCGCAACAAATGTGCCAAATGTAAAACACCATAAAGAATCATTTTTCATTAAAACACAAACAAAAGGCGAAAAAAATGTACAACTGAGGCAACATTTCAATTCATTTTTGACCAATAAATATGAATTATTTGCTCTTTCGACTAAATTAAACAGAAAAAAAGCCATACAACACGAATTTTATGTAAACGTTAGCAGTATGCAATGAATTTCGTTCAAAATAAGCGTGTATAATGAAGAAAGTGAAAAAAACCACTGAAGGGGCATGATGTAAAAGCAACAAATATGTGAAAATCGCATATGGAAAACGAACGATGGCCAATAAACTCGATGAAGCGAAAGTTTGTACACACAGAAGACAGAAATGAAATGAAAAAAAAACTGGTCAATCGGTTCGTTCGCTCGTGTACTTGAATGACATGCAAGCCATACCGTTGTAAATATTCATTCGTAACATTATACACACGCCTTGTCTGTCTCGCGCGCACTCATACAGTCACTCAGTGCATATATTGGTCGGTGTTTCGATCGAACATAGGCAAACATGAATAATTAAAGTGATGGGGCGATCGATTGTGAATTCTCCTTGATGGAAATAATAAAAATAACAGAAAAATCGAACAAAAAAAAAACCAATCGATGGAAATGCTTGATTAGACCAGCAATTAAGATAGAAAATGTTAGAATTAGCCCATCACAAAACCCATACACATACACACTAAATTAATTAAATTTAATCAATTGAATGGTATTCGTGAGAATCGGTGAAATTGCTACGCAATGAATTACATCGAGAAGGGAGTCTTATCACACGAAGATTACGTTTTTCTTAATATTTTGCAAGTAATCTTTCGTTGTAACATTCTAGTACCAAAGTTTAGGTTTCGTCTTTGTTCTTCTTTTTGTTTGACACTCACACGCACACACAACTAAGCGCCCACAATTTAAAGAACAAAATTCTCCAAAATAATTCAACACAAAATGACTATTTTCCTCTATATCCCGTCACTTTGCACACTTTTACTAAATTCAGTCCAAATGATTGGTGCAGATTTTGTGGTAAATTTATGTCAGAAAGAGGGAAAAAAAACTTTCTCATTTTTGTGACTTACACCGAAGACGAAAAAAAGAAAAAAAAACAGAGTGGATACCACTACGAAAAGCCTATAGCTCGTTAATTTACTACGTACTAAATAAATATATGTTCCCTGTTCGAGCACAACTCACTCGTCGCTGACGTTACACCAAAATGACAATTTTTCTGACTTCGTCTCTCAACCCAATGCACACACGAATATACAAAATGATTTTTTTTTTCTTACATCAAGGAATTGACGGAATTGTTTTATGTATTTTTTTGTTTTCTCTATCGTTCAACTAAAATACAGTATTTAATTCGTTTTCCATGAACTTGGCACGTTTTGGTTAGGTTCCGACAGCAAATTTAACGACGACGACGATGAAAACGAGTATCGTACGTACACAAATACACGACGAAATGAAATGAGAATGAATATGTTAAATTGTCGAACGGTACACAGTCAGTCGACTAGTAAGCATCATCAAATACAGGTAGCTATACATTGTTGTTCATTGAAACGTCATTGCAAAACATGTCGGAACGATGAGTTTATACACACTCAAACAAAAATGAAAGAAACGAAAGACAAAGCATTGGAAGTTCGAAAAATTCGAAATTATGTTGGTTCGAAATGTCAAACATTTCAACCACACGTGCGCTACTGTCACAACCATCGTACGTAAACATAACCAACAAAAATCACACACTTCAACTCCGACACACAGTGCGTGTTATTGAAAATAGACGACGAATTTAGGTTTTTTATTTGGTGCATTGTGGATATTAACAGTGAATAAATGCTATGGTTTGCTTTGTGAACGATAGTTTTTCAAAGGACGTGGCCAAAATGACGACCAATAAACCAGCCGACGACACTATTGACGATTTAACCATTGATGAAAATGCATTCTTGCATTTGAAACTACAGAGAATCGCTGGCGGCAGCGTGATTGAATATCAACCAACATTTTCGCCGCATGGAGAGTGAGTTGACTCGAGCAACAATTGAAATTTTTGTATTTTTATTTACGATTTTTTTTCCGGTGCATTTCCAACGAATATTATTGTGTGTTAAATTAAATTTTTGTGTTACTTTTAGGTCATTGTTTGTCATTTCGGATGACCACATTCTAGTATATAGCACACAAACTGGTGAATATGTTCGTGAATTGGAAGGAATCCCAAGCAAAAAAATTATCGCAATTCAATGTGATCCGAACAATCCAAAATTGCTCTATGGTTGCACTGAGTCCGGCAACATAATTTCGTGGAAATGGAAATCGGGAGTTATCAATGAGAAACACTTTCTTCATCTACCGACTCATGGTGCAAAAAGAGTCGATACATTTGCATTAATCAGTCTGAAGGATGCGACTCAGACTTATGGTTTGATCACATGGCGACAAGCTAATAAAATTAACGTACAAATTGGCATCTTTAACTTGTTGAATGGCTTGCAAGAGGACATAAAATTGCCGCTCCTGTTGACGTAAGTTAGACATTTTGACCATATGTTTTGATACTTCCGAATTAGTCTCAATTTGAGAATAATTTCAATTCCAATTTTCGCTTCGATTGCAGTGCATCAACTGTCCGAACGGCTGTGCCACCGTCACAAGATTACTTCGTTGTGGTTCAAGACAACTTTTTGTATTGTGTCAATCATTTGAAAGGTGAAGTTCAAAAGTGGAAGAATGCCCAAGGCGATCTTCTGACATGCGTTGCTTGCCATCCAATACAGCAAGCGGTCGCGACTGGAGATGTCAAGGGTAGAGTTTTATTGTATCGTCAAATCTTCCGAAAAGGCGAACCGATGACCACCCTCTATCATTGGCATCATACACCGGTCACGACAGTCACATTCACTCTGTCCGGTTCGAATTTTTACTCGGGCGGTTTGGAAAACACACTGTGCCATTGGGACATTCGAGGCAATAAACCAATCGGTTTCGTACCTCGTATGCAAGGTACACCCGTGCACATCGTCATTGGAGCGGAAAATCAAAAAATTTCCGTCGCCACCGATGATAATGGCATTCAAATTTTTAACGCACAAAATAATCCAACGGCTGTCATTCAGAATTTCACGTGGATCCCGTTCGACAAAACGAACATACCGAAATTTCCGATTGGCCTGAAAGTTAATCCAAGAACCAATTGCTTAGTGCTCAACGGACGATTAGGCCATTTACAATTTTTCTCAACACACACTAGAACATTGCTGTATAATGTAAGTTGAACTCGAATTTTGTGGGCAATTTTGATTTCTTTTTGGTCGAGCATTTTTCGTTTTTTTCCCCTTCTTTGGATTTCTAGCCTATTTCCATTTTGAGGTTCCATTGATCTTTTCAATCACTAAATTCAAAAATCTTTTTTTTATTTTTAACTGAAGAACCTCTATTTTTTCGAGTTTTTTTGTATCAAAAAAATCCAGAATTCTCATAATTTGCTCAAAAATAATTAACTTTCAATTCAAATGTTCATTTGCAGCTTGACACAACGGCCCAAAATCGATTGAATATCGAAGCTGAAAAGGTGTTGTACAATTTGTACGTGTCGCAAACGGCTTTGAATCAAGATTGGTTGGCAACGGCTGAAATTCTCGATGACCATGTGCACACAATCGAGTCTCGTTTGAAGTTTTGGAAATTCGATGAAGCGAAACAGGTCTATGCATTGAATACACAAATCGAATTGCCCCACGAGAATGGGCTTAGAACATTGGAATTTTCGACGCCACACTCGGTGGAGAATTTGTTGTGTGCTTCGAGTGGTGAATACGATGTGAAAATTTGGGCATTGGAAGACTCACCAAATGAGAGTGAGTTTAGTGCCTTTTTGGCATAAAATTGATTAATTTTTGCTTCATTCGCGATAAAATCCTCTCATTTTGGCATTCATATTGTCGTACTCAATTCAATCTATTCAACAATATAATCTTATCACATCCATTAGATCGAAATTCTTAAGAATTGTCTTTTTCTGCTTCCAGAAAAAGGAAAAGTGTGGACTTGCATCGCTCGTACCAGCTACAAGAGTTTGCCAATCAAATCGATCGGTTTCTCATCGGATACATCGTTGTTGGGTGTTGGATTTGGTAATACCTTGTGCATTTACAATCCAGAAACGTTGAATTTGCGTTGTGCTTTGAGTGCTCCATCGGGTTTGGATGGAAGTGTAAGCAAGATGACAATCACATTGCCCGGAAGTAACGATAGAAAAGATTTGGCCATAAAACGGCAGCAATTTATTGAGAAGCGTAAAAAATTGCTCGCAGCAATTCGTTCGATGTTAGAAACTGATGACACCGTTTCGGTAGCGAAAATTAGTGGTGGTATTAAGTCAAAGACAGAATCGAAGCCCAGCAAACAAAAACAGCCAAAACAATTAATAGATGAACAAAAGAAGATCATTTTCGAACAGGTGCTTGCTTCGAACAGTATCAATCTGTTCCAGAAGATCCATATTTTCGATAAGTTCAATTTGCACGGTCGAGTTCCGGCGAGGTCGAAAAAGGCGTACACCGAGTATTGTGAGCAAGTAGATAGAAAAATTGAGTGCACAAACATTCTGGGTCGAATGTTGAATCTATCGCCAAAGCAAAAATTCAAATTTGCCTACAAGTACAATCAGTCCAATCTGCAAAAGCAACGGAATCGCCATACATTGGATGCCTTTAAACGTGTCGTTGGTTTTACAAAGACTGCAACTATGAAAAAGATTGGCAACGGTCGGACTGATGATGAAATTTTAAAAGAATGTTCAACAGACAACGAAATCACATCAAATGTTCCACAAAAGCCTACGGTGAACATAACGCATGTTGCATTTTGTACGGGTGAATTTGCCCATTTAGTCATTGTATGCACCGAGAGACGATTGTTGATCTGGAATTTACTTACGCTTCGACTACAATCCGCATTCAAAATTGAGGTTGAAAAACTAACCGTCGATTTGTATACGAGTTTAGTGGCAATTGTCTCGAAGAATCATGATTTGTACGTTTTTCTACCGAACACACCAATTACCCTATATCAACACAAGCAATTACCGAAAATTGATGGTTTAGCATGGATTCCACGGCAATATCCACGTAGTCATTCACTTACAATTGACTGGCAGGCTCACACCGAACTCTATTTCTTAAGTAGCGAGAAACAGGTACTGCATTCGAGATACTTCTAGTCGATTTGATATCGGACGCGATTCAATTGATTTGTTTATTGCCGTTGTCTATTTATAGGAATTGCTGCGACTTGTTTCAACCAACGATGAAGACTCGTACAATTCGAACGCTTTTTACTTAAGCGATAATGCGCAGACCGTACCCAACACACCGTTCGCTGCAATGATAGCCAAACAACAAACCAATTATGCCATCGTTGAATCGAATCAAGACAAACGCTCCACTGTCACTTACGGAATTGGCGTCCCAGGCAAAGACAGCGTTAAAGAGGTAAATGCGTTTTATTGAATTACCACAACTTGGAAATTGAATTTGATTTTTTGTTGTTGCAAAACACTTCTGAAGCTATGGAAAGTGAAAGAATGAATGAAACAACGGATTTGCTTGTTTTTTTTTTGCATAAATAGACTTTGGAATAAATATTCTGGTTTATTTTTGCTTAGTTTCCATTTGGCTAACATTCGTAATGTGCGTAATTAACCACAGATTTTATTTCGATTTAACCCTCTAATGCATACAACCCATGACGGGCAACATTTGAACGCCTGTAGAACGTAAACCGTACATCAGATCACATTGCTTTGAAGAGAATTTTCATTCGTCATTGTTCTCTCTTCATTTTTGTCTTTGGCAATATTTGTCTATGTAGTGTGATTGTAAAGTTATAAACAAAAAAGTGTGCAAAAACATAAATTTGACAAAATAAATTATTCGAACTCCAAATTAGACAAATTTAAGACACTCTTAAACAATGGATTTGATTGTTCTCTGATTTATGTCAATCGCATTTTCTGACTAAACCATGAGGAATCCAGGATTATGAATATTTTTTTAATTATCTATGGCCAAAAATCAACCAAGTACCAGTACTCCCCTGGGAAAAATTAATGCATTAGAGGGTTAAAACAGTTTGATTCACAGTTCTTGACAAAAACTTCTTGTCTCTTCAAAAAAAAGTTTTAAAAAATCTTTACATTTTTTCCATTGAAAAAACAAAATTATCGAAAAAACTTCTATTAGAAAAAATTTATTTCAATTTTAAAAACATTAAAACTTCAAAACGAAAACAAAATTGAAAAAATCAAAGAAATTTCAATTTAAAAAAAAGAATTAAAAATTATGTTTTCCTTAAAAGAAATTTATTTAAAAAAAAAAAACGAAAATGAATGTAACAGTTCAAAACGTTCACTTAAAATTAAAAACAAAGTAGATTAACATTAAATTTTAAAACTTGTCTAAAACTGGCCCAAAAGATAAACTAGAATCAAACTGCTTTTAAATCGAATTAATGTTGTATTTAGATAAAAATTGAACTATTTCGCAATTGATCAATATTAATTGATTAGAGTTACATAAAATATGATAGATTACCATAACATTCACTTTATACATAAAATTTGGATTAATAATATCATTATCTATTTCACACGACTTTGAATCGAGTACACAAATCATCATCAATCATTTGTATTGTGTTGATTCTGGTTAAAAAAAATAAAAATTCACAATATCACTTAAAAATCGACTAAACTAATCGAAAAACGAAACAAAAAAATGGTGGTAACTAAACATCGCTTCTACTTATCGGGTCGCTCATTCACAAAATCACCTAATAAAACGTCGACTCATAAAAAATGAGTAAAAATGTAATAAACAACATCAAATTCAAAATCGTCTGTCGTTTTAAAAAAAAAATCGAAAAGAAAATCAGAATATTTATAAAATATATCAAAATTCAAGAAACAAATCTGTGTGTTCAGAAAAAAAATGGATTGAATGAAAGAGTTTATTCAAGTGGTCGACGTAACATTGGCACACGATAATTTCGGCATCGTCTCATCAAGTGTATGTCATGCTTGAAGTAGCGCAAGCAATGCCATTGCGGGATTTCCATCATCGATTTCCCAACCTATTCCCCCAAAATCAAAGCAAAGAAAGGAAAAAAACGGTAATTGATGAAACAAAACAGCTCCGCTGCTCGAAAATATTAATAAAATATTCCGTTGTTCGAATATTTTCCACATTTAATAACTGCTTACCGTGTGTGGTTGCGAAACTGGCACAGCAAATGTATTTGCCAGCATGTTGAAAGCAATCACTATGAAAATAGCTACGGCAGACCAAATCTTCATTTTAAAATTGGTAGTTCTTGTCTTTTATTCCGCTTGAAAATATCCTTTGGAGTTGCTTCCACTTTCCGTCGCTGTTCGCTTCGGTTGGTAATTTAATTCTCCTATTCACTGCTCAGCGAATGCAATTTAATGGAATAGGATATCGATTCACGTCGAAAAATGTGGAAAAATTGCACAAACACTTTCAACTAGTTAGCGGAAAAAAAATATATGAAAAAAGCGACCACAAATCCGTGTCAATCACTTTGAAACTGGGAATTATATGAGCAAAAAAAATTCTGAATTTTGTAAGAGACACTGTGTAAACGTTTTGACGATCGGATGGCTCAAGTTGAATTGAAATATTTGCCGTACTGGTGACTCGTTTTATACGATATGCAGCTGAACACATCGGGGATTCAGCGGCAACAGCAGCAAACAGCAGCGCACAACTCAATTGTTTACTGTTGTTTGGAATTTTTCTGCCGTTTTTTGCACACCGCACACACTCTAGCGTGTGCTCGTTGTGTTTATTTTGCGTCGCACATTGAATGTGAACGCTGTTTGCGCGGAATTGTTACGAATCTCATTGATGTATGTTTATGCACGCAACGGGTATCGCAGAGTCGAACGATTTGCATAATGTTTTGATAGAAAACTATGGCAAAAAAAATCTGCTCTTCCTCAAAGGCTCTCGCTTACCCGATTGCTGCATTTCACACACAACATATGTGCTTGTGTACATGTACATGTACATGCGTGTGTTTGTGTGTGTTTTTATGTTCAATAGATAAAGTAATGGAATTTACACAACCGCCAATAGTTTTCGGAATTTCCTGATTCAATGCGATATGGTGTGTTGCATTCGCTTTTTTGTCCGTTCTAATATCGCTGAAAAATAGAGCAAATTCCCTGTTTGAATGACCTGTAAATCGAATGCGTCCAGCGTTTTTATCTTGCATTTGTTTTCCGATATTGTTTATCCCCAACGCACAAAAACGAAAAAAAACGCTCTCCTTTTAATAGACCGTTTAATAAATCATGTGTAATGAATAAAAAATGAGGTTTCCTGGGTAATATTCGCACACATTTTAAGCCAAAGTGAACAAAAAAATTCACTTGGAAATGAGTTGTTTTCGCTGGGGTGTATGCTAATGTAATCTTTTTATGTCATCTTCGCGATTTCCTTTCGCATTTTAAAGTGCAGCATAATTCATTTATGTTCTTCCCGTTAGCTATGAGCAAACCAAAAAAACGCACTACGGTTCTATTCGGTAGAAGCGTTCAATCCAGTGGATGTACAGCGATGTACATATAAAATGTTGGTAATTGCATCTATAGAACAAATCATTGTCGAATGGATTTTGTTTTTATATCTACTGCGTGTACCGTGCAATATATGCTAGACCAGAGCTATATTATCTCGCCACTTCAATTGATTGTATTGGTCAAATGCGCGTAGCGCGTTCACACAAATGCTTTGAATTGGTAGCAGTCGCGCAAAATTCTCCAAACGACCAAATCACAACTCACAGATTTCGTTTTTTCGTTCATTCGTTCGCATACAGGATATAGTCGTGTAATCGTGTGCGAGCTCACTCATGCTGAATAAACAACCGATGCCTACGTGCCAAACAATTTACACCAGTATTTGCCAGTTATTCGCGTTCTCTATCTGCTTACATATGACTTAACAATTTAAAAGCTTAAACAAATTGGATTATTCATGTAATTCGTTGCGAATTCAACAACAACTATAAATCGTTTCTTATGATTAAGAGCATTAAATCGTATCTGGTGTGACTCGCCTTGATTTTTTTCTGTTTCTGATGATAAAACCAAGTCGGAAGTAGGCGCAATTCGTTAGAGAGACGAGAAAAAAAACAATTAAAATTGCATGTGTGCTACACTTTGTGTAGCTAGACGATGTGCATGCGATTCGTATGTCCGTTCTGGATCGCACCAGATCGAACCAAGCATAAGCATAACGTAAACTGACCGAAAATTACTTTTAAAGAGTGACAAATCGTATTGAAGCCATCATAGCATAAAATATTTAGATTTAAAGAGTTAAATGCGCGGAATGTACAGCAAGCTCAATGCTATGCTTGATTCGTACAGTAAAACCGATCCAATTCATACAGTAGCATCTCGATAGTACGTACCAACACTTAGATTCGCTCGCGTCAAGGGCATAATTGCGTTTAAGTGCATTATTTGCAGTGCAGACATGACATCGCATAAACTAACGAACATAATTGCTTGGAACGTGTGCTGTACCATTTAACGGGGTATCACTGCACGTGTCGACACTTTGTTTCCATCGCATCATTTTTGCATCTCGATTTTAACTCCGGTCGGTTTTGTTCTCAATGCATATATTGTAATTGCAATGCATACAATGTTGCAAATTTGCAACATTTGACGAATTTCATCATCACTTTAGTTTTTGTGTGTCGAAGCTCTGTCTGCTTACATCATATTACAAAACGTTTATTTTAACGTGTTGAAACTTTTAGCTTGAAATGAGTGGCTTGAAACCATAGCAATACTTTCGCCCAATAGCAGACGCATTGTGTGTGTGTGGGTGAAATTCATTATTCTCCAAATCGGGAGTAAGCAGGTGCTTTGCGCAATGGATACTTGCACATGCATGCAAATGTGCTGATTTGCTTCACTGTTAATCGTTTGATTGGCTCCAGTCTTGAATATGAATTACATCATTTTCTCAACCGATCAGATCCACCGAAATATCAAGATATAATAAGTGTTTGGAAAATGATTTCGAGTTGGAGTGCAGAAAATGAATCGATTTGAGTTGATGTTCATGCAACAAAAAGCCAAGCATTCAATTGATGTAGCTCGGGCAATCACGTGCGATATTTGGAAAACTGCACTTTGGTATGTGCATGTGTATGAGTTTGTGTGCTTATGAGCGAACAAAGATCCATAAAAATATCATTAATTTTCATATTGATTCAAGCGATGTCATTCATTGAGGTCATCGTCCCATATTTTACTCTCTTCGCATGTTCTTGCTGCCAAATCCATTTTTTCGCACACAAGATTTCTCTCGATCAACCGTTATCAAGATTGTACTTAATAACTTTATCCGTGCGACAAGATATATCAAACACGAAGCGTATCATATTGGATGCACACTTTTTTTTCGGTATAATTCCATTTTATTAGCTAAATTTTTGCGTGCTCATGTGCGGAGGCACACGTCGCGCATATTCCAACAACGAACGAAAGGAAAAGACTGTTGTTGATCATTTCGCATCCACTTACGTTCAATTTGCCAATGCTCAACCGTTTAATGGGGGACTTGATTTTTGGAAGATTTTTACCATGGAAAATGACTGTTTCGCAACTGCCTTAATAAAAGCTACGCTTTGTTTGCGATTCGCTATGGAATGGCTATTAATAAAATTCACCGAACCAAGCTAATGGTAAAATTAATATACCGCAGCCAAGTCAAGCTAACAATTGAATGAGCTTATGGAACATCATTTAATCCATTTCGCATGCAATTTTTCTTCACTGGAAGTGATCGAATAATAAATTTACACAACAATGTTCTAGGTTTACGCAACGTACTGTGACGCATTGAATATTGTATTATTTCCGTCAATAGCAGACCAAGTGTTGTTCTCTATTTTGACACTGCGACTCGTGTAATTGTCATTTTGAAGTATTAATTAAAAATGTCTCTGTTTTTCCCTTCATTTCAGTTGACAGCACTGCAGGCTCACACCATGGCACCGATGAATTTATTCTGTACACGATTCCTGAAATCATTGCTGGTTAAAGAGGATTCAGCTACGAAACCACAGCAACCGTCTAGTGACGATGATGACGACGAGGACGAGAAAATGCATTCAGACGATGACTGAACCATCATTTGCAAATGAAAAACCACCGCGGTGAATGGAAAAAACAGCTGCGGAACAGAAATGTTTTTTTAATTGGAAAATACCTCTTGCTTTTGATTCGTTAAGGCAAAAGAGTTCTTTTTTTTACTTTTAAGCAAAAAGTAACGTAAATTTAAGCAAAATGAAGGAATGTAAATATCAGTTACTTTTTTTAACTGTGTTAGAAGTATTTTCTTTGTAAATGAGAAATTTTTTTCAATGGAAATAAATGAAAAAAACCTTTTTCAAATGAAGACGTATTTTGAATTTTTTTTTTCGGACGTAACATCTCATTTTATTTGCATGGTAAGGTTAAAATGGAGAACCGTATGGAATGAAGTGCTGAAATGATGCTTTGAGGAAATTAGCTTGAAATTAGCATATTCCAGACGACTCACTTCATGAATTTTTCTTACGATTTCGTTACTACCGACCAATTGGTTGCCATGAAAATAAAAGCAAACGTTTCCATTTCAGAATTGAATCAAAATTTGTTTGGTTCCAACAACACAACACAAATCAAGTCGAGTGATAGTGAATTGTTTATTGTCTCCCAAGCGAGCGACAGATAATGGGTTAAGGTCGATTTAGTTTTCGACTCAAGTTAAATTCCTTGTGAGTCGATTATTCAATATGGCCTTTAATTGGATTGCGTTCGCACTTCTCAAGTCGTGCCATATGTACAATGTCTCTATCATGCATTCGCTGACATTCGACGACACAACAGGCCCGGCCAAATTGACTGACAAAAGTGATTTCATTCACCGAGATATGACTATGGATATGACTGAACAACAACAGCCACATGTTCCAAGAATTTGATGCGAAATAAAAAAAAAAATGCTGATGACAACAACAACAACAAAATTATTATTATATATCGTTGTAAGTATCATCTGGATGAAAATCAAACATCATCTAGGGAATTTCAATGGTACTATTCATCGGCAGGCCCCGACATCTGAATGAACGAATTACGAGCCAATTTATTACATGAATTACACGTGATACAAACATAATACGTTTGGCCCATTGAATGCGATAAAATCAATAAAACAAGCATTATGCAGTAGAACCGCTTAAGTAAGACAACTCAAACGCAGCTTTGAATACCGAAAAAACCGAGTGATTGTATCAGAACAGTAAATGAGTCATTCGAAATGTATATCATACCGAACATGTGACATTTCCACGTTTTCGAGAAATTGAATAAAATCCACTCGAAATTGGACTGGAACGTCGGAATTAATTGCATTTCACTGGACACAGTACTGTGTCACATCATCAGTCATCATCAATTATTCAACGGAACATTGCACCTATCATTTATTTTCGTTTCATGCGATATTATCAAATGTGTTTTTTTTCGTCATTTTGTATTAAATACACGTTTTGGTTTTGATTTGGTCAGAAAATGGGCTAGAAATTCGAGGAAAACTTTTTTCTAGGCAGAAACTTGTGGGAAAACGGAAAAAGTGGTCGAATTTTCTATTTTCACTTTAAAAAAACGGTTAAAATGGGCCGGTGCAACGATATCATAAAAGAATACATGAAAAATTCATCATTACATGGTGTTAAATTTCTCATCGACGAAGAAATTTCGTTTTTTGAACGAGTTTTTTGGTTATTTGCCATCATTTTGTCGTGGATTGGATCCGCTTTTCTAATTATGTCCGCTTTGGATGCATTCCATAACAATGCCATCAGTTTTGTGGTTGAGAGTTCGTATCGTGATTGGACCACCAATTTTCCATCGGTCGTCGTTTGCGAATCGAAGAATAACGATAAGATTCAGGAAGTGGCTGATAAGTAAACGATTTTCTTTTTTTAAATGAAAAAAATTCATTTTAATCCATTTTTCAATATTCGATGTCCATTTTTTCAACTCCGTCCATTATTCAACGAATAGGAATGAATATTCCTATTAAAATGCAATAATTGAACACCAAATGAATAATTCCCAAAAAATTCTTCTTTTCATCCGATTTTCTACAGAATTTGGGGGCCAGATCATGATTTCACCCTTGAAGAAATATTAAATGAACTCACTTTCTTCCGTGGCGAATCCTATCATGCCATTCGTGAGTGTGGCGAAGACATTGAAGTTGATTGCATTACGTTGAACTTCACCGATTTGGTGGGCATGATTCGAAGTAGTTGCGATGAGGTGTTTAGCCAATGTCGTTGGAATAGCGAAAGTTTTGATTGCTGCTCTTACTTTTTACCCGTACAAACCGAAGTTGGAGTTTGCTATGCATTGAACTCAATTCATTCGGAGGCGTGAGTATGAAAAAAAAAATTGTAAATAAAAATCAGCAAATGAAATTGAAAAAAAAATATGGCTCATTTTGCCTCGATTAAATATTTGAATCAAATAATACCATTGAACTATAAACATTTCAATTGAAAAGTTCAATGTCGCTTGATTGTCTGGTCGTTAGATTCAAATAGATCAGTAGCGGCGCCTTTTTATGTTGATAACAAAATAAATTGTTTTGAATGAAATGCAAGCAAGTTCCTTTTATCAACAGACGGAACGGAAAAAGACAGCGACTTGATACGTTTTCAAACAAATACACAGGCCCTGGCAGTCTCTACATGGAGCTGAAGACCGAATCGAATATTTACACGATTGGCGAAGAGGAAGTACCGAACCTTGTGACACCCAAATCGGAAATTTTAACCGTCGGACCTTATATTTCTTATACGTAAATGCGAGAAAAATATTTTTTTAAAATAGATTCGGCGCTTGTTCATCTTTTTTCGCTTCATCTCAATTTGTTCATTCTGTTTTCACCGAAAAAATGTAAAATCATTTAATTTGGCTTATAAAATCAACTATTTGCTCATTCTACACTCAGTCGTACAATCTCGGTGAAAAACATCGAAAACGATCCGTTGACCCGTGATGTGAGCGTTGAACAGCGAAATTGCCGCTACACCGATGAGAATATTCTTGACGTGCACAACTACTATAGCTTTAGTGCTTGTTCGGTTCAATGTCGCAAAGATAAGCAGATGCGTGTGTGCAATTGTACAAATCATTTGATGCCGAATGTGCCGGTTGAACAACATTGTCATGTAGAAGGTTTGAGATGCCTGAACGATCATTATGAAGATTTGTCGGTAGTGATTGCAAAGTGGTCAGTAGGTAAGAAACTAGGGGGTTTCTCTTGAGAAGGTGACCAATATATTCACAAATCTCATACGAATTTGTGAAAGTTTTTCGAATTCACCATGCTTCTATAATATAAATGAATAGGATTATGTGACACTCCATTAACATTACATTTAAAAAAAAAATGTTTGCAAATTCTATTGTTTAATATTCGATTTATTATAGAAGCATTGCGATTGTATGGATTAAAATTTTGATGTGAAAATTTTAACATATGTTCTGACGTTCCCATAAATGTCTCTAAATAAGGCAAGAGAGGAGTCGTATGTACCCACTGTCTGCCATCGTGCACGGAAATTGATATTGGTGTTGTTCATGATACTCGGGATAAGTAAGTTAGACCTCTCAACATTTCATATGAAATCAATGTCAAAAATCAGCATTAATAGCCCACAAATAACTCTGTTTTCAGTATTTACGGTCATTCAAGTCCACTTTCAATGGTAACAATTGGCTTGGCCAGTTTACCAACCGAACGCTATAAACGCAATGTGATTCGAGGCAAATTGGATCTTGTCGTATCGATAGGTGGCACAGCTGGACTATTTGTAGGTGCCAGTCTACTCAGTTTTGTCGAAATCTTCTACTACTTTATCGTTCGACCGTGCTATCACCATCGCAAGACAACAAAAGCACCACCGAAAAAACAGCACACTACCTTATTCGACTATTGCAATTGAATTTTCGGCAAAACGGACATGGATTCGGTACTGCATTCACCCCATTCGACCAAACACATGGTTTGGCATGTTTGGCAGCGTAGATTTCTATTATCATTTCTAGTTGTTGTACACATCTTCAGTGAAGCGTATTTCCAATTTAAATGAACCATGTGGTTTGACATATAAGCATGAATTTTGGCGCATGCTTTGTGGCGCCATGGAAAAGCAAAGAGCACTAACACACACACACACACACTCCTTGTCCTCCGTAGTGTATGCGTGTATTCTCTCGATTTTCAGCTTTTCCGATGTCGTTTAGTTGCTTTCGCTCCGCGAACAGATAGTGAACACGAACCAAAGTTCTTTAGTTGCACATACATTCTGTCCACGAATAGTAAACACTTTGTTTTTCTGGTGGATGTTTCTTTGTTTTTCAAAAAGCACCATTCTCAAAAGTACTTGAAATGTTTGTCTAGTTGTGGATGTATAATTAACTTAAATAAAAATATTTTGAAATAAACGTTTATCTGAGTTGTGTTGTCAATATTAAAATCGATATATATATACATAGAGAAAATCATTTAAGTAAAGCTTAGAGTTTATACCATGGAGAATGTAAAACAAATATCGATTTGATGAGTGCATTCATATCGAAATTCCAATTACCAAGCAAGTGGTCTGTTCCAAGAAAGCTAATGCAAATTAATCAAAAACCATTTGTGAGAAATTGCGATGCGGTTGAGTAAATCTTTGGGGTTTTTCGCTAATGACAAAGTACACATAATATGCATATAAATAAAATAGTTATATCACTGACACTCACAGTTATGTGTGCTATTCAATGTGGAAAATGATTTTCGTCGACTGAATTGTCGTCATCGTTGTCGTCGCCGTCATCGTAGCTGTTCAACGGGAGCCGTCGTTGTCGTCCCACTTTGCTTTCCATTGTTATTGTCTTTTTATAGACATTGATTCACATATTCGGTCGGTTGGTCGGTCGCTCCGGTGGTTGTATTGTGGTTGCATGAAAAATTCAAATTGGATTTAATTAATAGGATTTATATGGTCAAAAGGAAAACGAGCGTTGCGTGAATGGTTTCGATGTGGACTAAAACTCAATGAAACAGAAAACAACAACAGTAACAATTTCCAATCGCATCGGAAAAGTGGAGCAAAATTCAGGCAACCAACTGCCAATTATTACTGCACATTGAAATTACTTATTGAAGAGAACTGAATCGTTTTTGCCAGCTTACAAATAATCCATCGTTTTGCTAACCAACAAATAATCCATCGTTTTTCTAACAAATAATTCAACGATGGTGCATGTTGTCCAAATCCAAAAATCATGAAATGAACACAATCAAGTATTCAAGCAACAATTACACACGTAGCAAAACACAAATTGTACCGTTTTCTAGTTAAGTCTGGATTAAGTGTGTTATAAATACGCAATCAATTTGTCGTGTTTGAATTCGAATCGTTCGTTTTCATGGCAAATGCAGATCCAATTTCGTATATATAAATGTTGCGACGAACAGCGAAAATCTTCATTGCAGCTTGACACCGAAAATTACTTTTGGCATGCGAACCTATAATAATAATTCCATCCAAATGTAACCAACCAAACAACAAAAATACGATACAACTCATACACACAACGGAAATTTAATAAGCGACAATAGAAAAAACATTTCATCAAACAAATCATGTAAGTTGTTATTATTTTGTAGAAAAACCCATTTATTTCGAATGGGCATAAATAACGTTTTGCAGTAGCAAAAGTAGTGAAAAAAAGTTCAAAGTTAAAAATAGCTCGAGTGGTTGAGTGTCACTTGAAAGTGCAAATGAGAAGGTACCGCGGGTTGTGTGAACGGAAGCGCTATTTTCAAATTAAATCGATTAGAACGTGCAATGGCAATTCGCCATTTTTAAGAAGTCAGGGCGTGTTTTTTTCTCTCGCTCTCCCGTTGACTGGTTCAAATCAGCGACAACTTTTATGCGGAAGCACTTTTCGTGCATATTTCAAAGCGCTCTCCATTCACGCAATCATCGCTATGACCTCATTGCGGACAAAACAATTAGAACGATATGGATTTAATAACTAATGGAAACATAGAAAATTGTGCCGACAATTATTGTTATTTTTTGTAAGAGCTTTGGATTGCTATTTAAATTGTTTCTCAAAAATTTACTATTTCTGCGGATTTTAACGATTATTGATTTTCCATAAAAAATCAAAACAAACAAAACACACACACACAGGATTAGCGATATAATAGCGTCAGGAACGTACAGCCGATTAGCAATTGGACTGATTATATTCACACATGTGATTGCGTACAATGAAAGTGGAGCCATAACGGTGCTATTTTCAGCGTTTATTGCGACAATATGTGCAACATTCTCAGGTAAATCAATTTTTTGCTTCTTCCCCATTTTGTTTTCGGTTTCGCCGTCGTTTTTGCTGGTTTTTCGACGTACGACACGAAAAGCATATATACACGAAAAAAGAAATACACATCTAGAAAATGAAACAAACACCGAACCTAAATACCATTTTATGCCTTGTTTGATGTTGGCCTCCATGAAAATGTGTTGGCACGATTCGTTCGAGTCGTAAATTCATGAAATTGTAATGAGCTGAAACTGAACCTCATGAAGGGTACAACGTTTTACTCCAAAAGTAAATGGATTCTCATTCACTCACTCTCCTCACTCTCTCTCTCTCTCTCTCTCCCTCTCTCTCTCTCTTTGTATCAATCTGATTCGTCTTTGTTGGTATTTGTTCGGTTGCTCTCGCTCTTTTATTCGCTCATATATTGGTAAAATCGATAGTTAAAATGGGACGCGCCACTCACTCACAACAATGTAAACAATGCGCTCCGCGCGACAAATTCCAGTCCTCATCATTGTTCTGGCTCAGTCTTTTGCCAAAAAAAGCGGCGAATCGTGTGATGAAAAAGCGAACGCCAACACGTCTGATATGCATCACAGATAAATTATATGCATATGATACTGAGCAAATGTTTTTCATTCCATCGCGACCGGTCGTTCATTCTCGACGACGGTCGAGCGTCGACAGAGTACGACATTTTGTGTCCTTCGTGTTTGAACTACGCGCGCCGATCGAAAATAAAATAGGAAGGCAAAATGCAAATGAAGAAGAAACCAACCGAAAAGTTTGGTTCTGCGTTTATTTTTCGTGGAATATTGAATGGCATGGCACGGAATTGCTCACGACCTGATTTTTCCGACTTTCACAGTGATTGTGCGCATTTTCGTACATATCATGGATTTCATCGAATTTGTTATTTTCATTGTTATCGATTAATATTTCTAATTTCTATTCCATTTCTGATTCTTGTGTGCCCTACCAATGCTGTACCTGTTGGATAACAATCAACAAATATATATATATATATATTTACGCGAATCGGATTTGTGCCCGTGATTTTAGCATTTTGCAAGAGTTCACTCAATCATTTACAACTGCCATACATACGCGCCACCCATAAATTCGATTTTTTCATTCTATTCCTCGCAATATGGATGGATATTCTGACATTGATTTGTGCTTGTGGTGCATTGACACGTACGCTGAGCGTTTGCTTCGACTCAATGACCGGTGGAATGGCGCGAATTTATATTCTGGGCCGGAATGCACCGGAGAATGAACCGTGGCCAGATGTTATCGGTTTCTCCATTATTTTTATCGTGAGCGTTATGTTTATGCTTGGATTAGAGGTAATTACCAGTGTTCAATTGAGAAAAAATTCCAAGCTTTTTTGACTTGCAATTTTATCGACATTTTTACTCTTTCCTTTCGTACATTTTTCTCCGTGCGATCAGAACTCAAAGGTGTTTTCTTACATTCTGATGGCAAGCCTGTGCGGCATAGCTGGCATTTTAATTGCGATAACATCGATACGAGGCAATTTTACGGCATGGAAATCAAAACAATGGCTTCCAAAAGGAGTCTCTGGTGTAAGTTAAAGCGAAATTCGTAGACGAATCTATTAAATTGACGTGCGATTTTCATTCGATTTCTTTTTTCCTAAAATTTGGAATTTCTTTTTCCTCACGTAATAACAACAACACAACGATAATAAATAACGACAAAAAAAACCGGGTAGTTGGTCACCAGTGCAGCGTTATTGGTATTCACATTTCCGTCAGAGATTCCAGCAACAGGTAGCTGCAAGCGATTGAAAGCCACGATAGTCAATATGTTTATTTGCTTAACAATTGTCCTGTGTGCCGGTTGTCTCTCAGCTGTTATTACTTTCAAGTAAGTGTGGACCCACTTTCTCAACGTAACCAAATGAATTCAATATCAAACATATAGCTACATAACATTTTCCATTATCAATATTCCATTTCAGTGCACCGGAGGAATTCATTGCCGTTCCCATTTTACTAATACTCGAAACATTGGATTTTCACAATTTTGAACCGGCCATCGCATGTCTCTTTGTTTTGGTTGGTTCGTGTGCATTCCTTGAATTATTTTCGGAAATGTTCACTTTGATTGTGACACTTACCACCTCCGATTGGAAAATACTATCGCGACAAATCGGCTATGAGCATGGCGATAGTGGTAGCCCCGTTTTGGCTGTATTCACTGGTGGCAGTATTTGTGCAATGATTTCATTTGCATGTCCACTCGAAATCATTGTCTATTTCATTGCGGGAAGTCAACTATTTTCTGGATTACTCCGTGCCGCCTACTTGTTTTACCAACCATTTCGACCGAAATACTTGGTCAACACGAAAAGTAAGCGAAATCGATTTATAAATCTGTTGCTAGTTTTTGACCTAAATTATTAATTTTTACTGTCACTTAAGTTCTCAACCTTGATTCACTTTCTTTCTTTATTGCTTTCATGGAAATTTGTATGGAAATTCAACAAATTTCTTCATTTCAGACGACACTTCGCTCGGTTACAGTCAATTAAAACCAACCGCTACATCTTTGCGACAATCGGTGAGCAACACATCGTTTTTGCAATCGAATACAAATGTGTCAACAGCAGGTGATGTCTCGCGACGAATTTTACGCTGTTTGAGTAAACCGTCAATTGTGTCGATACCAAAGCCAAAATCGCGCACCAAAAAGAGAAATGAGGAAATGGAAAGGGAATGGCTGTTGTTGGGCGAGCCAACATCACCTCGAAATACAATAATTTTGGACGATGAACAAGACACATCAACATTGACAATAACTCCCACTGGGCCAGAGAATACGTCCAACCAAGATGGTGAAGCACTGCAATCTCCTACTTCGAATGACTTGATTGAAAGCAACAGTGATACGGATAGTTCAACCGATATCGATGCAGTTGTTGACGAATATCGACAAAAAGTCGAGGTGACCACCTCTGGACCGTCAGAGAAAGTACTTCGTATTCCATCAATGGAGTCGTGGCGATTGTCAATTGTTTTGCTCGTTTTTTACTCTTTTGGTGTTGCTATTTGTCTTGTGGGATTTGTTATTGGATCGTTTATTGTTTTCAGTGCCGGCGCTTTAGGTAAGTTTTTACTGGAAAAAGACCTTTTTTTTCTTTTTTTCATTTTTATGGATTCAAACTCAAAATTAATTCAATGCTCAATTCTTCATCGAAAACAAAACAAAAATTGTCTCTTGATTGAATTAGAGGAAATATGTTTATTAAGTCAATTTTTGTTCGTTTCTTTCTATCTGACAGTTGTATTATTCTTCACACTGGTCATGCTGTTTTTGCCACGCTACAGTCACTCGGAAACATCACCCAATGTGGTGTTTTGTTCGATGACCATTTTATTGGAAAGTCTTCTGTTGGGGTCGACATTTTCGATTTCACTGCCAGCGATAATTGCATGGCTCATCGCCGGTAAGATCCAATTTAAAACACTTTTATTTCTAAATTCAATTAAATTCTAAGCGCATTTCTTTCTCTTCACTTCATTTTGTTTGATTTAGGTGTATTGGTATTCACACGGTGCGATACATGGTTTTCACTTTGCATCGAGCAACCCATGTACATAAGTCATATTGTAACACCGTCCGTCAACGGTCCATCAACGTCCAATTTGAAATCGATGATTCGTTTGCCCAGACCGCCAAAAGGTGCGCTAATTCCATCACGCATACATGCCCATGGTCAATGCAGATGACATTGGGAGTACACGGACAATGAATACTCTGAAGACGATGGCGAAGAAACGGCCGAAGAATGGACGGAATGAATATTTTAATAAAACAAAGAATTGTTCACCGATGAAAACACTTTGAAGGAAAAACTCTCTCTTTTTGAAGGAAAAAATCAACGAGAATGCAAAATATCTCCGATTTTTTCCCTTTACGAAAGTCGACAAAATTTCAAGCAAACGAACAAAGTTGTGAAAACACCTCAATTGCTTGTTAAACTGCCCGCGCGCGTGAATTTAGTTCAAAATCGTTTCAAAATCCGGAGCGATGTCATTGAATGCCCAACGGAATAAAGTATATTTTTTGATAATTTAGCTAAATCGAAGGAAATGTGTTTGCAAACAAATTGAGCAACCAAATATTCTGAGAGTGAGATATGACAATTTCAGTTTCGCCAAATCAAAATTCGAACATCAAATCATCCAATAAGTAGAAACCATTGTGCCTGTGCTTTAGAACGCATATTTTAGTTGAAATCATATACGTTGCAATGTAAATGCGTAGAATTTTTATTTGAAATCGAAGGATGTAGCTCTACTAGCCGAGATGTATAACTGTGGCAATATATTTATTCAGAAGCCAAAGCGAATAAAGTAGATTAGTTTCAAATCGATCTAATAAATAATATTCCACATTTCATTTTACATGATTTATTTGTTACTTAAATCTATCGATATTGCTAGCGATAAATGTGATCCGTCTAACTAATTGTTTTTAATTAAGAGAAAGAAGAAAAAAAAAACACCAACAAATGGTTTTATTCAATTTTATCGATAGTTTTTCTTTTCGTTCAAGATAACATCATATTTATCGATCTTATAATATCAGAGAAAATAAATCTATTGAATATTAAGAAAAAAATTCGTTTTTCATTTTAAATCATAATTTCAGCGCAAATTTTTTGCCGGAGAAAAGGGAAAGTTTGAACAAATTGCTCGTCAATTTTGTTGTGCAAACAATTTTTTTTTTGCTTGGAATCGGTAAATTTCGGCTTCATACTCATGATAATTTTAAATTGAGACAGCAATAATTTGATATATGAGTCTAATGGATTGAGCGAATAGCCACGTCTGGAATAATCGGCTTCTTGCTTTTTCTTGCATGTAAATCAAACATTTTTAGTAAAAAAAATTTACCGAACACTTCAGTCTTATGAGTTGAAGACCCTGTTGAAACTTTTCCAAAAAATCTCAACTCGATCAGTCAAACCGATTTGCTTCGGTTTTCATCGTTTTCATTAATGAATTATTTTCACATATGGTCAAAATATCGGTCACGCATTATCTTCCGACAGAGTAAAAATAACGGAAGAAAATCAGTTTGACAGAATTATACACCAATTTGACTGAGATTAGAAAACAATGTTGAGTCTGGCCGCTAAGAGAATCGTGTAACGTTGATTAATCACAAATTCGCTGTTCTCACTATTTGAGTGCATAAATTTGATGCCATATACATGGTAGAAGAATGTAGATCGTCAAATGTGTATCAAACATTCACGTCGATTCGCACCATATTTTGCTCACTTTTCGACTGACACCAATTCCAACGTATCGAATGTCGATAATTGATAAAGGAAACATAATCACAAAATGCGCGTGTTACAATCACTTTCTTTTCATAATTTTATTCATCGTGATTTACTATCCCAGCTAAGCCTATCTCAATTTGAAATGAATGAACAAAAAAATAAATTACGTTCGCCTCCTTACATAAGCAAGCTTGTTTTCAGTTTGTAACGCATCATTACAAAAACTGTTGATTACCATTGCAATGCGTGACTTTGTCGTACAGAAAATAAAGCTAAATTAGATGTACGTTCAAAAAGTAAATAGAATACCAAGCAAGCCGTTCATTTGTAGCGGTTCTTGCAGTAAAATATGCAGTTGTAAATCGACTAAAATAGAGCGGCTGTGGACTTGTTAACTTGATGACGACGCCGTTAAATCAATAAACACCATGATTTAATGGTACATTTGCATGCATCTTTGTAATTCCATGATCGTAAAGGATTTTAGAATGAGTGTGTGGACAAGTTGCTTTTAGAAACTAACCGAAATGATTTACTGAGTTCACTGGCTCATGCTTAAAAACGAAATAAAGTTGAATTATTCAACATATAAATTCTTCTCCAAACAACTCCAGACCCAACACCTCTAATTTATTGCGAAATTTGTCAAAACCAAATGTCATTAATCGAAATTTCTATTGACCTTTTAATTTCTCTGAGGGTCACACTTTCATTTTTTTGGCGCACCGACGTTCAAAAAAAGTGATTTCTTTTCGGTGAATGTAATTTTAATCGCTCGACTCAATGTTTGGTCGTCATTAAATGACAGTGGCGCATGTGAAACAAGATGTAAGATTGAATTACAAGTGTGGTATTAGGTCATTGCCTCAGACATGATTCACTAAACTCGGCTCCGGTGGATTATTTTTGCATTTTTGGTCAAACAATTCTAGTTTGTGTTCTTGAGTTATGGTTTTTCTTGGAACAGTTTCATTTACACTTTAAATGGTTGTACGTGTCTGGCAGTCCGGAATAGCGATTGAAAAAAAGGAAAACGCTGAAATTCAGTCTAATTACCATTTTTTGTTGGTTTGTATGAAATTAAATGAAAAAGAAGCAAAAAAAATCCGGACGCAAAATGTGGTTTATCTGGTGTTTGGTCGTAGAACAATGAAGTGTCTATAGGTGTTCTTGTTTTTTTTATCCATTCATCGTTAGCCGTATTTGTATTTATTTACGCTTAATTAGATTAGATTTCTTTGTGCCAGTGGCATCGAGTGCTTCTAGCTGCTCGTCAACGTCGTTCGTTCTATACAATGTTTATTTTGCTCGTTTTTTACTTTCTTTTTCTATTGTTCGCAAATAAAAAGTGTGGCGCACTGGAAATGGCAATTTCAATTCTATTTCGATTGAATTAAAGATTTGTTCCGTTATTCATTTGTCGAATTAATGCATTCGATGGACCATAATGCACTGAATGGAGGCGAAAAATGAAAGTAAATTAGAATAAAAGCACGTGATTTTGGATGCGAGGAAAGCGGGCAACAAAATCACGAGCAAAAGAAGTGGGTTTTAATTGATTCTCATTGAACGAAAATGATTATGAATGAAAATAGAAAGTCGCTGGATTTGGTTTAGTTTTAGTCGGACGATCTGAATTGTCTATGTGTGAACAATAACAAGGAAAAAACAAATACAAACTGACGAAGTGACCAAATTCTTCACGCCGCAACGCTCAATGTGTAACATCAACGTAAACACGAACGCATTTCCAATTAGCACTTTTTTCTTTTGTACGCGCTATGTGATAGCAACGGAACATATACAGGTGATGGTCTAGTCTCGACTTCTTTACTGATCGTTGTTTTTTTTTCGGAATATTCACATACTTCCCTTCAGCTACTAGCATAACATGCACACACATATTTTTTTGAACAACACCTCATGCTGATTTACAGTGTAAATTTTACACTTTGTGTGTGTAAAAGCCAACCAAGAACGACGGTTTAACACGACCGTATAATATTGTTGAATATAAAGTGTGAAGCGAACAGAGTTGGTCATTTGCAGCTCATTTTGGTTTGGACCGTTGTAAAGTCAACAGCTTTTTCGAATTTGGTGCATTAAGTGATCGTGATTTGATTGCATGTGTTCATTTTTTGGAGCATTCGAACGGGATGTGTTCCATTCAATAGTGACTATTGGATATAATTTTATCATGGTTTTAGAAAAGGAAAATTTTACCGAATTTGGACTGAATTTGAGATTTTGAACAGACAAACATAGAAAATAAAAATAATATAAAAAGAGAATCATTGCTCAAATATTGATTTAACATTGATAGAGAAATTCATGGATTTTTTTGTAATTTTCGTTGAAACTACGATACATGTGCAACTAAATTTTATTGTAGTTCGATTCAACAAAAAATGTTAAAGATACGGAGACTACTGATACTTTGTGGGATTGTGTTTTATGCAGAAGGTGATTTTTTTTATCAAAAAAAAAACATAAACACGATCAGTGTATCATAAAATCGCTCATTGAAATGATATTTTCGATTAGGTACCCGTGTGTGTCCCGAAGCAACAAAAGCACATTTAACGCGATGTGACATGTACTACAAATGTTCGGTCATGAAATCGGATAACATTATTTGGCTGGCGCAAAATTGCCCAAATGGATTAGTTTATGATTCAAATTATGGAAATTGTGTTTTGCCCGGTGAGAAAATACATTTCGAACAAATCAGTTTCATTTTTCAATTGTAAAATTGTAAATTGAAATTTTCATTTCGAAAAATCGAATTTTTTAAATTTTTTTTTGCTTGTTAATTTTGTTTGTTTTATGTTATTGGTTTAAACAAAATTTTAATGCATTTAAATCATTTCGATCCAATTCCACTGTGTAATAGCAATGGTTCGGCAAAATAATTTTCGACTGTCAAAAATTAAAGCCAGAGATTTATCAAGAAAAATCGTTTCCTGTATTTTGATTGTGTAAAAAAGTCGTTAAAAATAAACCCAATTTTTCTCTCTCTTAAAAACCAGGTGATGATTGGGAATGTCAATTGGATACAGAAAGTCGATCGTCGTCGAGAGCTGATGACGATAATGTGTACGGTGTGAACAATTTGAGTTATTTGAAAGATCAAATCAAAGGATATGAAACGGAAGTTGATGGAGATGGTGATGAGACTCGTGAAAGTACCGAGGGAGAAGAACTGACTGATGATAATGAAGATGTTCTGATAACGATGTCCAACAATGGAACAGTGTCATTTGAATCTGGTCCAACTTCAAATTCAAGTGAAAATGAATTTGAGTCAAGCGGTGATGGTGAAGATGAGGATGAATTGGAAAATAAATCGACCTACATTCCCATACCAAATAATTCCGATGGATTGGTTTCATCACAATTGCAGCGGCTATCGCAGTTGGTTCGAAAAGTAAATAACAATCAAAATGACGATCTTACAACCGATGATTTGAATCAATATTTGTCACTGCATAAATTAGTTCATCAAAAATTCCCGAGCCATACAAAAGCCGAGAGGGTGCCTCACAATAAATTGATTGAAGATCATCATTTGAAGCAAATATTGGATTTGCAGAAAAAATTGAACAATTTGGGCAATACACGGAATACATATTCAACACCACCGACTCCGGTAAAGGTCACTGTAAATGGCAATGGGGTTTATCCAGCCGATGCGACAACTGTTCATATCAAAGCAACGAATGCACTGAAACATCCTCGGTTTCCAGATGCTGGCTATTCATCGTCACAAATTGTTGTGAATCGACCCGGTGGATCAGTTGTGTTCCGGTTGCCACATTCAGGCTCCTCACAAAAGGAGCCAACCAACAAAAAGAAACAAGAAAGTCAAATCAGTGAAGAGACGTTAAAAACTCTATTGGAGCTGACAAAGCACATGACGAATCAAGCGCCAAATACACCGAATTTCGTACACTCCTTGCCTTCCGCCACAAATGGCGATTATGCACAACCAATAATTCAACCAGTTCTGTACAATTTCCCATGGGATCAAATGTCATTAGCTTCGCTATTTGAAATTTTAAATTCGAAAAAGGGAAACATAGTACAAAATGAAAAAAAAGGTGAGTCCATGGAGAAAATTGCGTCCACAAGTTTCAGTGTTCCAACTACACCAAACGCGGCCAGCGAACCGGATGATACGAGTCAAACGACAATTGTTCACAATCACATTCCAATTACGATAGCTCACCCGAGTCCAACGAATTCGATAATTAATCGCTTCCAGCCAGTAACAACGACCGCGCGACCATTTCAAGATCGATATGATAGCTATGGTTATAAGAAACCGGCGGAACATACCGATTTGAAAAATTATTATTCTTATCCTCCCTATTCAGAGAATTTACACAAAGACCCAGTTATGCAGCAAATTCCATCGGCTAGTGGAACCATGTATAAATCACCATTTTCAACGCAACCAACCGCTTATGATGCGAATGTAGAGCAACCGCAATACATACAAATCGCTCAATCACGACCCGATAACTATATTCCTGTGTATCCATCAAGTAATGTGATTGAGATTGATGGAATGCGACCTATTCCAACGTTTGCATCGGTCAATGGTGGTTACACACGAAAATTCTACTCCACATACGCACCGCAACCACATTTGAGCGAAAATAATGTAAACAAAGTGGTGCACATCAACCAAAAACCATATCCAACAATGCGACCAGCAGTGAATTATGTCCCTATAGCAACTGCTTCAAGTCCGACTCCAAGCTATGCCGAGCTTCCACCGGAATACGGGCCAGTTCAAAAGCATCCAAATATTGCTGATAAAATCGATCAGTTCATCGATGCAAATGAAAATGACGATGATGCCGCCGACGGCGGCGGTGGTGGTGGCGATAATGAACGATATGAAAACAATGACGAATATGTGAACACAAATGTAGAGCAAAGCAGTAATGAAAACGTGATGAATCTCTTAGCAAATTACAATTCACGACTTAAATCCAATTCAATGGAGAGCATCACCAACATGGATGATACGCAAAGTGTTAGCGATGAAAAGAAATCGACACACAAATACAAAACGAATCAAAGCCAAGGCAACCACAAACAGTTTGTGAATTTAAATGGGAATTTCATGAGTTTGGAAACATACCAACAAACAATTGAACCATATTTACAGAAGAATTCAATTATTGACTCACAAATCGAAGTGCTGACATGTGCAACTGGTGTGCGACAGGCCAACAGCTCCGATTGCACACGGTATTTTGTGTGCAATGAAAAAACTGGCAAAGTGTTAAGCTATCCATGTCCACCATACACCGCATTCAATGGTGATACGAAAATTTGCAATGCAGAAACATATGCGCGTTGCTTTTCGGGCAGCTCAACGAAAAACCATGAAAAACTTGCCCAGGGAAGTTTGCAGATGTCAATTTTAGAGGCGAATCGCATCAAAGCCGAAGCAGTGAAAGCACAACAGCTTGCCCATTTGATCAAATTGGAAACGGATAAAATTTTAAGTGCAGCACATCAAGTGCGGTACAAACAACAGATGCCAAATGGTGGAAAATCCACCGTTCAAGTGATTCCTCCCACTCGACCCTCTCAAATCATCCAACAACGACCCAATCAAATACCACAACAGCAACCGCATCGCAAACAACAAATAATTCAAACTAACAAAATCACGCCACAGAAATCAACCGTCAAAAATACAACACTACGAGTGAAGAAACCACAAGGCAAACGCAAAATTCCATGCCGAACTGAAGGGAAATTAGTGGATAATTTGTCACAACATCATTATTTCTTATGTTTCAAAGATCCAACGCAGGTAATGCGCGCTCGAAGACTACATTGCCCAGCGAAATTAATATTTTGTCCCAGCACTTTGGTTTGTACCGCCACCGAACGATGCCCGAACAAGTTTAATCGAATGTGAAACATACAAGACAGATAAACATGGAATTTAGCGATAAAAAAAATCGACGTTGAAACGTATAAAAACGATCAAGACCAACGTTTTAAAACGACACAATCGAAAAACTCCGAAACAAACATGAATCATTCCAAATTGAACATTGAATTTTAAAATAAGAGAGAAAACGTTAATTTATTGAATCAAGAGATAAAATGTTTGGTTTTTTATTAAATGATTAATAATATTTATTTCAAATAAACAAAAAACCTTCATGAATTATTATGAATAATTACTGAATCGATTAAAGTACAAAAGAAAACTTCAACGAATGTGTTTTGTATAGCAAGTGCCATCTATCGTAAGCAAAACGAAGTAGCAATAGGTATGCATGGATACGTATTACATTTGCTGTCACGTAAACTTGGCAAACATAAGCCAAGCTTCATTCTGACAACAAATTTTCTCTTCTGTCAGTCAGTCGGTATTCGTGGCGATAGATATCAACTTGTGTTTGTTCTTGCAAATATGATTCAATAAAAGAAACAACTGAATTTTTAGGTGTTTTTTCAAATTAAAACGATTCCAAACTATTCATAGAATTATTTGGAAAAAGCCAAACCATCACAATGAGTTGTTGGACAGATCCTCAGTGCCTTTTGTTTGTAAGTTCAGCTCTGCTAGCTGCGGTAGCTGTAGCGGTGAGTAATTGCTTATATATTTTTTTTCTACGAATTTCTAAATTCACAAAGGTTTTATCTGATAATTTTTTGTTGTTGTTGTCATAGATTTTCATAGCGGTGAAGGCAGTGACAACGCCACTTCCCCAAATCGTTCGGTTTGAAGAGGAGAAGTATTACTCGGATCCGGTGTCGAAGACAAAACAACCATTCCCATCAATTAATGACAGTCCAAGAATTGCATTGAGTGTCATTGTGCCCGCATACGAAGAGGAACGACGATGTGAGTTAATTGCCTTACGTTGGAATTATTTTAATATCATGAACTGGAACTAAACAATTTATTTTTTCAATTTTTCGTTCGTTGTTTTCTTTCCACAGTACCAAAAATGCTTGACGAAGCATTGGAGTATTTAGAAAAACGTTCGCAGAAAGATGTAACATTCCAGTATGAAGTGATTGTCGTGAGTGATGGCAGCAAAGATTCGACGGTTCAAGTGGCGATGGCCTATAGCAAAAAGTATACAGCGGATAAGGTTCGAGTGTTGGAATTGATTAAAAACCGTGGTAAAGGTGGTGCTGTGCGATTGGTGAGTGAATTTCGAGTGAACACACAATTAATTTTGAATTTGATATCAAAGAAACACAAAAATGTTGAATCAAGTATCAACTAAAGAAAAGAAAGTCGGGGTTAAATATCGATTTTCAATGAACTAACTTAAATTTTTAATTCAATATTGTCAATTTCTAGGGCATGTTAAGTGCTCGCGGTCGCCAATTGCTCTTTGCCGATGCAGATGGTGCGACTAAGTTTGCCGATTTGGAGAAGCTCGAAACTGAAATGCGAAAATTGACGCCGCCTGAAGAATGGGAGAATCCAGCCATTGTGATTGGTTCGCGGGCGCATTTGGAAGAGGAAGCCATTGCTAGTCGCAGTTTCTTCCGTACAATTTTGATGCATGGTTTTCACTTTTTGGTCTGGTTATTTGCCGTTCGTGGCATTCGTGACACTCAATGTGGATACAAATTGCTCACGAGGTCCGCTGCACATCATCTTTTCAATCTGTTGCATGTTGAACGATGGGCATTCGATGTCGAGCTCATGTTTTTGGCTCAAACACTGAAAATCCCAATTGAAGAGGTCGGCGTCAACTGGACCGAGATTGAAGGCTCGAAAATTACACCAGTTTGGACTTGGTAAGCAATCTGAGAATTGATTTTTTCGATTGCATTTTAAAAAATCAATGCTGATTCGACTCTTTTCAACGTTTAATTTCAGGATCCAAATGGGTTGCGACCTGTTCCTAATTTGGTTTAGATATGCCATCGGAGCCTGGCAAATCGTTGGCTTCGGAAGCAATAAGGTTAAATCCAACTAGTGATCTTATTCCATCATCAATTTCCAAAGAGTCATTTTGTGCATTTTCCAATGATGTGCTTTCCTGGCTGCTGATTTTGCAGAACGCACACACACACACACACACACTGGAACCGTTTGAATGTCGTTTAGACGCTTAAGAATGAATATTGAAATAAAAGGCATTTTTAAAACAGCAATTATTATAGTTGAAACTAGAGTTACGCAAGAAATTTTTTGTGGTTTTATTTTCTACTGGAAGTTTGAATTTCCATTATTACGCTTCTTCTTCTTCTTTTTCTTCTTCGAAAGAAATTATTCTTACAAAGAATATTTGCGAAGAAGATGTGCGAAATAGCGAATTTTAACTTTTTTGTATCAAATGTTTTTGAAATGAATGGGTTTTCCCATCAATAATGAACATTTAAACAAGTTTATTCGGGATAAAATCCCTTGAATGAAAATTATAATGAATTGGTTGCAAAGAACATCTAAACTGAGTTTACTTCGAACAACATCTCTTTTACGCTAAAAGCAATTCATACACGAACGAGTCAGTGTGACAGTTGGTGTGAGCGAGTCGAAGTTTGACAGCAAACAATTTGGTTGTGTCAGTTTGAATGTTTTTTAATTCAGAGCAACTACAAAACTACATGTATCAAAAATAGGCTTACGAAGTTGCTTAAATCCTCATTATTTCGAAAATCAATAAAATGAAATAACGTAAATGTTCTATAACTGTAAATACTCCGCATTTAAAATTATTCTTCATTCATTAGTTTAATTACCTTGGGTTTGATGTTTCAAATTTCAATGCAAAATTGAACAGCATTGCTTGACATACAAAGGTGATCTAGCTCGAAAATCCCAAATGAGGTAGTTTTTTTTTTACCAGATGGGTGTTTGAATTTTTGAAATTCCCGGGCACGAGTTAAAATCGCTCTCCTGCCCATATTTGCTGACACATAATTCTTCACTAATTAAAACAAATAAATTCAAATATGCGAAAATTACAGCGTGCGTTTGACTTTCATGCGTGCCACCGTTTCATATGGTTGAATCCAATCGTTATTTTCTGTGTCAAATTTCAACATTTTTTTGCTAATGAGTCGGAAGTACTTTGAGTATTTAACGTTACATAATCATATTTCAGTGTTGTTCGCTAGGTTGTTCGTATGCGAAACACAGTACGTAGCAATTAACCATGATGACAAACTTTGTGCTTTGTCCAACACAAAGCTTGTTCTCTCTGCCTTCCTTTCTGTATTTTTTTTTTTGCTCTACTTTGACGAATTATTTCGAGTCTCGCATCTTATTTCATTTGCTTTTATGCAATCATTTTGGGGCTGAAACTTATAAAAGCCACAATTGAACTTTTTTTACTCACTCTACCTATCTCTCTCTCTCTTTCTCACTCTTTCTCTGTGTGCGTGTCCCACTCTCTCACCATTTCAGCCTCTCCTGCATCTCCGCACAACTCGATGCAAAATATTCAAGTTTCAACTTAATCAAATGTTTTCATTGTTCGTTTGTTGTTCGATTCCGAACGCAAATCAACTGGTTTATGTTTATGTTTCCGGTGCAGATTTTAGTGCGCTTTGTTTGTCATGAAATTTGATTCTTCCTCTCTTTTACGGCGAGATCATTAAATCGATTGCTATTTCAATGTGTGTATTTTTCTACCTAATGCTTTATCCTTTGCGTAACGTGGAAAATGTGCTCTGGTACTGATCGGCTCAACAATTTTCCATCACCTGACACGGATATGTTTTTCATTGGACTAATAACAGTTGGATAGAGTGAGATAGGTTAGATGGTACCCTGTGTTTTCGTTCGAAAGGACGTTAAACTTACGCAATTGTACGATACAAAGAAAGCTTTTCCATATCAACTTGCTCGCTCCGCGTCCAAACCGGCTGCCTGTGTACGAGCGAGACCACTCGCTGTGCTGCCAAAACAGAAAGCTTTCAGCGGCGATGGCTTTCATATGTTTGCCGTCGATGTAATGGATTCAGTCCTCTGCTGACTTTCGCCAGTGTTGATGGAGTTTTGCAGCCATTCGTCCCAAAAAACACAATAAAATACATAAAAACACCAGCTTCAGACAGAAAGATCCAAACAAAGTGGAAGTCGATAAGCTATAAGCTAGCATGTGAAAATTGTTCGTATGCATTGGAATCAATTCGTTTGTATTGGGTAAACTAATAACCCAGTGTGCGAGCGCTTGTAAATGGTAAAGTGAATTTGATGTGCATTAAATTCGATCAGTGATTCAATTATTGTTACACGAAAGCGAAAATATAAACATGAAAATTGATTGAAAGAGTTTGCGAATGCAATGGTTTTCTGTTCATTGTCTTCTGTTTTACGAATAAAAAAAAATTTCGATTATTATGTGAAATATTCACTATTATATTTATATGTTTCGTTTTGTCGACTTTTTTTTACGGTGTGCGATAAATCAATTGGTTTTTGAATGATGTGTTCGAAAAAAATTGTTGTTTCAATTTATATTCGGTTTTTTTTTTGTTATTTAAAATAAATTCAAGTGATTTTGAAATTTAAAAGAAAAATAACTGATTTTGATATGAAAATCACAGAAGCGTTGATCCAATTAGATGAAAATAATACAAGAAATCGTGCAAAATTCGCCTTAAAATCACTAGCAAAAATTCAATTTTCCGTTTGAATTTTCCACCGCGTTGTTGATGGATGATATTACAAAACATTGCGAAGCATGTTTGGTCGTAATTGAAATGATGCGAAATGGCAAAATATAGCCGACAAACAAATCCAACAACAATAATCCTAATAAATCAGTCTGAAACGGACCAAATGTTTAGCATGGAAATGTATAAATCTCTTTCGCTCTTTTCCTTATTTATTTCGACCCAATTAAGGTGTATTTGTTTGGTTGGGTTTTCTTTTTCGACTTGTTCTTGATAATTTGGTCATGATGTGTTTTTTTTTCGCTCTTCGTTTCAAATCCTCTTCAGAAAAATGAAAACATTTTCTTTTCTCGTGGAAGGGTCTGGCCTTGTGTGTGTATATTATTTCATGTATTTTTTTCGCGAATTTTTTTTCTCTTCATCAACATTCATTTTGGCTCTTCAGTCGATGTTTTTATTTGATTTGACTTTGTTTGGTTCTGTTTTGAAGTTTCTTTTGTTGGTAGTGTGGTGGTGGCGGCAGTGGTAGCAAAGCAAAAGAACGAGATAGTGGCTTGTTGATTGACAACAAGTGTACGGTTGTTTCTATTCAATCGTATAAAATGCCTTCGAACCACAACAATACCGCGTTACACCGCAATCACATTCAAACATGAAAAGAAGCGCACCGAACTTTCTTTTCGAGTCGAACAAGACTAACCGAAAAGAAAAAAAGAAATAAAAGCGATAAGCGAAACGCGTTTACCTTTCCATGGAAAATGTAGGCAGAATACACGAAAAAAAACATACTCATAGAAGCAAATAAGAAAGAAAAAAATTGAAGCGGTAATGGTGAAGTGCACGTCTCCCTATTTGCCTTCCCATTCGTGCCATTTCTGTTTTCAATTCTCGCTCATTCGGTTTGGTTGCGGGCGCGTATACATCATGACTTTTCTATGCATGCGGCTCTCTTTCTTCTACCATTTATCTTCGTGATTCAATCGAATCCACCCTCCTCAGACACGGACGCTTTCGTGTGCGCCATACACAGACGCACACACACACAAACACACTTACGAACACGAAAATTTGTTCCGTATAATTTAAAAAGATTCTTATAAATTTATTCCGCATTTTCTTTCAAGAGCCGCTCTATCTCTTTCCTTTTCATTCGGCTTCGTTTCCACAACCATCGATTCAATAGTTTGTGAGCAAAAAAAAAATACAGTTGGAGAACGAAATTTTTCGGCTGTTTGTTCTGAGGTTGGTTTTGGTTTTGGTGTGTGTTCGCATTTTGACTTCTTATTTATTTACCTTTATTTCGAGTTTATTTATCTTTATGCGGTTTACTCAACTTGGTTCTCAAACCGATTCTTTTTTCCCTCTCCATTTTCTCCTTTATCTTCATTTTGACATGGCATTCCATGTTTATTTCGATTTTCATATCAGAGTTTTGTATTCACACAACACCGCTATCGCCGCCGTCGACATTTAACCCGGTTCAGCCAACACGCCAATTCATTGGAAGAAGAACTACAGCACACGTCAAATAAAATAGAATCTACGTAAACAATAGCGAAAATATCAAAAACAGCCAGCTGCGGCCATTTGTACACGTGTGCATTTTCCAAATTCGAAAAAACATTCATGCTTATGCACGGTGCATTCATTTGCTCTATTTGCAGTTGTTGAAGAAGCAAGAGGAGCGAAGAAATTTATGAGCTTCGGCTTTTCTTCAAACCCTGAAAACACTTTTTGTAAACGAAATTAAAGGAATTTCGTTAAATCCTCCCATCCAACATAGAGCCCACATATAATGTAGGCAAAAATTCAAACGGAAACTTGATCGATTTTTCTTCACTTCGTATGTGTTTGTGGGTGTGTTTGTGTATGTGAAAAAGTGGAGTCAAAACTTTACAGTGAAATAAAAGAAGAGTGAATAAAAAAGATTATGCTAAATTATAAAGTCGAATAAAACTTGCGAAAGAGAAAGAAAAACTCTGAATATTTTGCAAACACCGAAGCGATTTGACTTTTACCGGGTATAAAACCATTTCATTTTGGATACCAATTCAAAAGCGAAAAAAGCAGCAACCTTTTCGCCGAGAAATTTCACATAAATTTATCGCTAACGAGACAAACATCAAGAAAATTCAGGTGAAATTAACGTTGAGACTTTGGTAAGTGTGTTTTACTTTGTACGTATACTCTATTCTCTGCACTGAGAAAAGGCTGGAAGGAAATATTCCAACCCTGCGTTGTAAATGTTGTCATTGCAGACGATTTTGTGAATTGTCCAACCATGGTTGGAATTTGACAAGTGCGAAAATGCTATCAATATTCCAACCATGGTTAAACAATTCACAAAATCGTCTGCAATGGCAACATTTACAACGTAGGGTTGGAATATTTCCTTCCATCCTTTTCTCAGTGTGTATAGCAATAAACATATATACACGTAGAAAATAATCAAGTTGTACGTAGATACATTTCGAATGTGGGGCGATGGAGATAAGGATTTTCTTCTATATCAATTTGAGTTGTGGAGCGAATATTTTCGGGGTGCGGGAACGGGTTCAGCTCTC